TCAGTTCCACGGTTTCTCCTTGAGGAATTTCTGTCTCCACTTCATCGGGCGGGGAAATTCTCGGGAAGGAGGTGGATTAAGCAAAGCAGGAGCAGCGGGTTCATTTCAGGTGCGGAGTGCCCAGCTCTTCCAACCCTTTGCCAGTCTTTGCCATGGCCGTGCTGGCTTCAAAAGGCCTCCGTCTCCAGATTGGTTTTCGGAAAAAGGCAGCCACCACCCAAGCCAGCTGAAATGTATCAAACCGGACAATCGTGCAGAAGACTAGCCTCTGAGCACTGCCACGTGTGCAGCAGATCGAAGGACCTCGGGGTCCTAGTGGATGGTCACTTGACCATGAGCCAGCCATGTGCAGCAGCAGCCAAAAAAGCTAATACAATCCTGGGTTGTATAAACGGAGGCATAGAATCAAGATCACACGAAGTATTAGTACCGCTTTATAAAACGCTGGTAAGACCACACCTGGAATACTGCAGCCAATTTTGGTCACCATATCACAAAAACGATGTTGAGAGTTTGGAAAAAAATCAGAGAAGAGCAACTGAGATGATCAAAGGCCTGGAGACCAAAACATACAAAGAATGGCTGAAGGACTTGGGTTTGGCTGGTCTAAAGAAAAGAAATAGGGGAGACATGATAGCAGTGTTCCTTTATCTGAGGGGCTGCCACAAGGCAGAGGGGGGCAGGTTGTTCGCCAGAGCACCAGAGGGAAGGATGAGTAACAATGGTTGGAAGCTGATCAAAGAGAGAAGCAACCTGGAATTAAGGAGAAACTTCCTGACAGAAATTGTGGGTGCTCCATCACTGGAGGTTTTTAAGAAGAGACTGGACAGTCACCTGTCTGAGATGGTATAGGTTCTCCTGCTAGAGCAGGGGGCTGGACTAGAAGACCTCCAAGGTCCCTTCCAGCTCCTATTCTATTCCATTCCATTCCATATTTTCTATTTTATTCTATTCTATTCCATTCCATTCCATATTTTTTATTCTATTTTGTTCTATTCTATTCCATTCCATTCCATATTTTTTATTCTATTCTATTCTAGAATTCCCCCCTGCCCCAGTTACTGCTTTTCACATAATGATTGCTTGTGTTCAGAAGTCGAGCATGCAGCTCTCCTCCTTTAATGGCCATTTGCACTTAACAACAGTAAGGAAAAATTAACAGGGCAACCAGTTCTCTCATTTATGACCTTCACAGGTCTGTAAAGGAAAGAAAAACCCAAGTCAGATGATAAAGCACCCTTGCAGTTTCACCGAGCAACAGATTCACTTAAGGACCAAATTGCTGGTCCCAATTGTAGTGACTAAATGAGGACTTTCTGTACTTTTTGCCGATTGCATTTTCTGCTTCCAAGAATATGTTATATCCTTTTGGCACTCAGTGTGGTCACTAAATGAGGACTACTCTACTTCTTGCAGATTGCATTTTCTGGTCCCAAGAATATATTGCAAATTTTTGTCACTCAGGAAAATCTAACCGGTGGCTGGCACCGGTTCCTGAGTTCCATGGTCAGTTAGCATCTGTCTTGGGCTTTCCCTGTTTTGCAACTGCAGGCGCAATTCATAAAGAGCCACGGACTGTTTCTGTCCCTGAAACAGCTCCAAATCCCTTTGTCCCAAAGAACTGACGTTTCTAATCCACCTTATGCCAGGGAGGCAGCGGTTTTCCTTTACGTTAACATTTTGCCTCCCCTGCTCTCCATCTTATCCTTGTCACGGCATAAGTAGCTTAGCCTGGAACAAGAGTGAGTTCATCCCCCTGGACGTCATGATAAAGATTTCCAGTCTGGTCTCTCCAGGGCTCTAAAATACCCCCTGATTATCCCATCGTATTGGCCACATCACTGGGTAGCTTTTAATAGCCCTGATAATAACACACCCAAAGTAGCATCCATTGAAATAAGGGACCTTTTTAAAAAACGGCCTGCTTTTTCCAGCCATGGGATATAACCTAGAGACGACGTGGGTTTGTTTGTTTTTTTCAAATTTGCCAACTTTTAACATAGGTGGACTCCAACTCCCAGAATTCCCTAAGCAGCATGCTGACGGGATTTCTGGGGGTGGAAATCCACCCTTCTTCAAACGGCTAAATTTGAAAAGACTGACCTAGGATGCAGACTCTCACTCAAAAGATGTTCAGATTTTGGGGAGGGGGGGGTCTCTGGCTGGGACTTGTACCTCCATCCAGATGGCCCATTTCTTGAACTCTTGCTGGTTGCATCCCATCCACCTTAGCTTCTGGGAGAGGAAAAGCTGGAAAAAGAGGGAAGAAGAGCTGGGAAGAGATTGGCTTTGGTTGAGAGTTGTGGGCACTGGGTGCAAATTTGTGTATTCCTTTTCTGTGCTCCCACTGAAGGAGAAGGAGAAGGGGGGGCTGAGGAAGAGGAGAAAAGAGGAAGAAGGAGAGGAGGAGGAGGAGGAAAGGAGGAGGAGGGGAGAGGAAGAAGAGAAAGAGGAGGACATGAGTCCCCTTGCCTCCCTTTTCACGCTTGACAGGAACCTGGGCTGTTCAAAGCGCTCGGTGCACAATTAAAGGGAAGCGAGAGCTGTTTGGAGACGGTCTATTTTGGGCAGTCGTCAAGGAGAAGGCTGGATTCCTCCCACTCGCACATGTCAAGCGCTATTTGGAGCCACTGGCGCAGCAGCCTCCGTCACCTCACTTTCTGGGGTGCCAGCAGCAAGACGAACCCCTCGAGAGCCGGGCTTGATGACCCCGGAACCCCAGAACTTTCTGGGGAAATGGCAGGAGTAGATCTCCCCATCTGGCCTTTGGCTGAAAAATCCGGCTGGCGAAAAGGAGCTGCCCCCCATACACACATACACATCAGGGGGTCTCCTGCATCTGAATCTTTGACAGGAGGTTAAAAGGCAGGCTAGGAGGGAAGCAGCTAGTCCTCAAGGGTTGGCCTCGGCTTCCAGAGGGCAGAAAGAAAGTTGGAGGTCAAAGTCTGTCTCTGGAAGCCAGCGAACCGTGTTGTAAGTGCTTCATCCAAGATTCAAAGATCTTTGCCCTAGTTAACTCCAGGTTTGTCCCTCCTGAAGCTGAAGCGAAGCCAAGCATCCTGCGCTCCATAAGGAAGAAGCTGGGTCCTGCTCAGTGCTGGTGGGCTTCCCATTTGGCGTTCCCATTTTCCACCCTCCACAGCCCAGTCCCTGCTTATCCAGAGACCAAAACCACGTGGCCAACAAAACAAGAATTCAGCTCTAGGATTTTCCCACGTTTTATTCTTTCTTGTTTGTTTTTTTTTTAAGTTGCCAATTCTGCATCAGAAAGCAGAGCAGAAAACATGCAGAATGATGCTGGATTCTTTTTTTTCCCCGGCCAGTGTTCAAAATCACCCTCCATGCAGTCTCTCTTCCCTGGTCAGTTTCTCTCACCATTTCTGGACACTCTCCCTTTCTGCATTACTCGTTTGCCTGCAGAGCGGATGTACCTGCAGAAGTAAAGATCACAGGAAGAATCAATGCCCTCTCCCCATCTTCCCCCTGCCCCACCTTGATCTTTTCAAAAGTAGCAGCTGGCAGAAGTTCACCAGGTGAAGCCTCCGATCTGGGCTTTGCCTAGCCTACCTTTCCTTGCAATCCTTGCAATCCTCGACTGACAACCATTTGTTTAGTGGCAGTTCGAAGTTATAAGAGCACTGAAAAAAATGTGATTTAATGACCATTTTTCACATTTACGACTGCGGCAGCCTCCCCATTCAGATGCTGGACCACGGGTTCCTATTTATGATGGTTGCAGCATTCCCCCCCCCCCAGGGTCACGTGATCTCCTTTTACGGCCTCCCAACCAGCCAAGTCAATGGGGAAGCCACACTCACTTAACAACCGTGTGACTCATTTTACAACTGCAGGGATTCACTTAGCAACTGTGGCCAGAAAAGTCGTAAAATGGAGCAAAAGTCACTTAACAAACTTCTCGCTTAGCAATTTTGGGCTCGGTTGCATTTGTATATCGAAGATTACCCGTGTTCCTGTTGCGGGTTTGTGGGTGGGGTGTGGGTGTGCAAAGGACTCACTTCTTAGGGGTGCAAAGTTCTGCCTTGCCTGGTGCAGGTTCCCCTCCCCGCCTTTCCTGCCCCGTTTCTCCTCTCCCCCCACGCCAAGGAGAGGCTGGGCAAGGACAGTGGCCTCTGGGTCTCTGCCAGCTGGGCCTCTTCCAAGCATCCATCCGTGCCAAGAATTTATGTCCCGGCTCTAATAAACCGCCAAGATCCTGCGGTGTTTCTGCTGATGATTCTGACTCTCACCAGAACTGCTTGGAAAGCAAGACTTTGCCCCCTGCCAGTCCTTTGCCCAAGGGGCCAGTCCAGCCTGTGGCAAAGGGCGAGCAGTTCATGCCAGTCTCTGAGCATTGGCAGATTTCTCTAGGTCTCTCGCAAGCTGCTCTGTATGGTTTTTTTCTTTTTGTTTTTCAATGCACTGATTCCAAAGATGGCTTTGCTAGATGTGCTATTTTTTGACAAATCGGCTAGAGCAGTTGGTTCCCTGATCATTTGTGGAAATGGTTTCTGCCTTAAGAAAGAAATAGAGGATTAGAAACATGACGGCAACAGCATTTGGCAAGAAAGAAGCTGGGATGCAAACAGGGGTGTCAGAAAAAGGAGTATGATGGCTCTCAGGAGCGTTTAGTTCCCTAGGACCATGTTTCTCAACCTTGGCCACATTAAGAGATCTGGGACTTCAACTCCCAGAATTCCCCAGCCAGCATGGTTACCCACTGGGAGGGGACTGATTTGATTTGTGGGGCCTGCAGTTTGAATCCTCTAGCCCCAGGGACTTATGCAAACAGCATTTTATCACAGTGGATACTTGCAAATGGCTTCTGGGGAAAATAAAGGAAGGCAGGGTCTTCCTAATCTCAGCTGGGTGGGAATCCTTGCCTTCCGTTCTCCCCGTCTCCTTTTGTGGGACCCCCGTGGCGGTTTTGGCCTGGAGTTTTGAGTGGTTGTCTGAAGGTTGCCTTTTCACAAATGGGTCTTTTTCCTCTTCTTTCTCCACAGAATTCAAAAACGGTACAAGGTCTGACTGGTCTCCGAAACCTCGGGAACACCGTAAGTCTCCCTCCTTTCCTCCATTCCTTTCCTCCCTCCCTCCTTCCCTCCCTTATTCCTTCCTTCCCTCCTTCCTTCCTCCCTCCCTCCCTCCCAGAGCTGCAGCTAAGCTCTCCAACCTGGGCTGGTTGGGACTGGTTGAGGAAGCTGACTTGCCTTCGCTGGCTGTTTTACCTCATTTCCGCTTCTCGGATGACACTGCGAGGAGGTTTGTTCTCACTTGCAGAGAAGGAAGGGGAGAGCCCCAAAAGAGTTGTGTAACTATTTCAGAAAACAGTGTCACCCTGCCCCACCCAGATGTGACAACTCGAAGGCAAAGAAGATGTATTTGCATCCAGAGAGGGTAAAGGCAAGTAGTGGCCTGCAATGCCAGGAAGCCTCCAGTCCTCTCCATTCCAACACACACGCACACAATTTTTCTGGTCCCTGAACCCTCCCTTGATAGCTACATCAGCACACTTTTCTGTCATTTTCAGCAAGGAAGATTTGCTGTAAATTATCCTTCTCATAGTAGGCTCAATCAGTGGTGGGATTCAAACATATGAAAAGCCATTTCTCAGTGTGGATGCCACTTCCGGAAGTCCATTCTGGGCCTGGGCAACAAAAAATTAGCTACCGGTTCTGCGAAGGGGTGCGAACTGGCTGAATCCCACCACTAGGCTCAATATAGTTGGGGAGAGGAGGGGAGGGAAGAGAAAGGGAAGGGAAGGAAAGGAAACAAAAGGAAAAAAGAGGGAGGGAGGGAGGAAAGGAAAGGAAAGGAGAAAAGAAAAAGAAAGCAAACTTTTCATGCCACAAATCTGACATGGCTAACCTCACTTCCCTTGGCTGTAACCTAACCTTATGTGCCTCTTCTACCATCAGAGGCTCTTTGGGAATGAGAGAGTCAAGATATCTTATAAAACAATAAATGAACATGGGGGAATTGAGCACTGAAGTTCACACACAAACACACACACTTCTAGAGCTTGCATTGGCTGTGTAGGTGGGTTCCCCTTTGGTGCCCATGGGAGGGAGGGAGGGAGTTCCTTCTTGGGCAAACATCTACTGGGTTCCAACCGCAAGAAGAGAGACAGGAACCAGCGTCTGACTTCCTTCTTGCTACCATCCCCCCAAATAATCTGCTCCCACCCAGTGGCTGATGGAGGAGGAAGAGAAGGAGCAGAGCCAGTAGTAGTAGTAGTAGTAGTAGTGATTGTTGCTACTCCACCTGCACCCCAAAGATGGGATCTGGCTTGAAGGATGGAGGAAGACCTTGCAGGGAAGATCTGAGGGCTCCATAAAGTCATTTACAGCCCCACCTTAAAAGCTTCACTTTAAGAAGCCTACCAACAAAGCCCATCACCAGCCAGTGGTGGGCATCTCTGCACAGGAGTGACAAACTGTGTGTGTGTTTGTGTGTGACTTGTGTGCACAAGTGCATCATAGCATGAGTCAATCACAGACGCAATGGAACACTGTGGGTGAGCAGGAAAAAAATAAACCCACAAAAAACATTCTACTTCTCCTTGGGCGTTTTAATTATTTTTTCACCATAGTAACGGCTCGTTGCCATTTTATATTTTAAAGTTTCTTTAAACTAAAACCTGATCTTCCAAGGAGGAAATCAGAGGGATGCCTAGATTTTATTTTTTATACAGGGTCCATCCTGACACAGAGTTTAATGAAGGTCATAGTCAGCGACCCCCTTTAGTTTGCGGGGGGCGTAAAGAAATACACCTTGCATAGCAGATAAACTTTCCAAATCTGCTCCTCTCCAGAGGATTGGCGCTGCCCATTCCACACTGCCTGGCTGGTGGGCCTAATTCTTTTTCTGAAACCAGTTCCTGGAGCCAAGCTCATCAAAGGGGTCCAAAATTCTAGCGAGGAGGAACCTGGGCGGATGTCACCTGGAGGAAGGACGGGGGGTGGAATGGACGATGGCCTGGCGATCTTCATTTGCGTCTCCCTTTCCTGCCCCTTGTAGTGTTTTATGAACTCCATCCTGCAGTGCCTGAGCAACACCAAAGAGCTGCGAGATTACTGCCTGCAGAGCCAATATGTCCGCGATCTCAACAACAACAGCCGCATGCAGATGTCTCTCGTGACAGGTAAAGGCGGCGAGGTTTTGCCCGGGCACAAGTGCACAATGGCGAACAGTGCAGGCAGCTATCGGTCTTCCCTCTCCTGAAGACACTTCATGGGAGGGGGCTAGAAAGGAGGGGGAGAAAGCTGAATCAGATGACTTTCAGAAGGAAGGAAAAGCGGGGGGGGGAGGGAGGAGGAGGAGGATCCCTTGAATCAATAAAGAATATTTACAGCAAAAGCAAAAAGTTCTGGTTGTAATGTTGTTACCTTTTATTGTGCTAAAGCAGTGGTTCTCAACCTTTTTAATGCCGCGACCCCCAACCGGTCGTAAGTCGAGGACTACTCAACCGGTTGTAAGTCGAGGACTACTCAACTGGTGCAGCACCGTTTGCAGAATGGGACTTTTGGCGGGCTCAGCAGGACAGAGACAGCCTGAACAATTCCTATTGGCTTTTGAAAGCCAACAGAATTAGACTATTCAAGAGAGTCTCTTCTATTGGCTTTCAAAAGCCAATAGAATAAAAGGGAGTAGCACAGCTAAGGAAAAGGGGGGAAAAATGGCGGACTGTGTTGTTTGGCGACCCCCATGAAATGGTCGTTCGACCCCAAATGGGGTCCCGACCCATAGGTTGAGAACCACTGTGCTAAAGAGAGTCGGGAATTAGTTTTATACTTTGATAAAAGTTAATAAAAAAATTCAGATCAAAGAATATTTATAGCTCAGGGTTGAAATGAAGGGTCCTTGGTGCTTTCTCTGAGCCTGGTTGTTTTCTTGCAGACATTTCATTGTCCAACTAGGTAACATCATCAGTGCTAGTCCTAGTTATGTTACCTAGTTTGGGCCATGAAACATCTGCAAGAAAACAACCAGTCTCAGAGAGCACCAAGGACTCCTCAATCCCTTGAATTCTTCTCTCCTCTTTTTCTCAGTTCCCTGCTCTTTTGGGCAGTTGTTAACAACATGGATGCTGGCCACGAGGGCCCCACAGGTCTCCTTTAATGTTGATCACAGCTAGGAAGTAAGCTAAACCTTGTGGCTCTCCACAGGAAGCCACCTTTGTCTAGAAAGGATGGAATAAGATCTGGTTCTTCATGGCCAAGTTGGGTTCTTCTGTGCTTGTGGGTTTACAACCACCTTGCTTCCCCCTCTCTTTCCAGAATTTGCCAAGCTCATCCAGATGTTGTGGACCTCGTCTCCCAACGAATCCGTGAGTCCTTCCGAATTCAAGATGCAGATTCAACGATACGCTCCCCGCTTTGTGGGATACAAGTAAGAGTGGGATCTAGTACCTTCTCTTCTGTTTTCCATGAGTGGCCATTCCTCCCTTGCTTCTTCTTCAGTCTCAGTAGTAGTGCTTTTAGCATTTGCTAGCTCTGGATTCCTTCATAGCAAGCCAGTGCTCTGTAGATCTTTGGGACTACAACTCCCATTCCTTGGCATTCAGCATGCTGGTAGGGAATAAAGGATGCTTCTAGCAGACCGAAAGCTAGCCAACACTGCTTCACAGTGCCCCATCTTTCCAAATCTGATGAAGAGAGAGAGTTAGTTTGATCAGTTTCCTTTTTCCTTTCCTTTCCTTTTTCTTCCCTTCCTTTTCCTTCCCTTTCCTTCCCTTTCCCTTCTCTTCCCTTCCCTTCCTTTTCCTTTCCTTCCCTTCCCCTTTCCCTTCCTTCCCTTCCCTTTCCTTCCCTTTCCTTTCCTTTCCCTTCTTTCCCTTCTCTTCCCTTCCCTTCCTTTTCCTTCCCTTCCCTTCCCCTTTCCTTTCCCTTCCTTTCCTTCTCTTCCCTTTCTTTTCCTTTCCTTCCCTTCCCTTCCCCTTTCCTTTCCCTTCCTTTCCTTCTCTTCCCTTCCCTTCCCTTTCCTTTCCTTCCCTTTCACTTCCCTTTCCCTCCCTTCCCTTCCATTCTGTTTCCTTCCTCAGTAATCTATCCTAACCATCCAGAATCACTTTGAATAGTGAGATGGGTGGCTTATATATTTAAGAAACAAATAAAAATGAACACACCCCCTTGAGAGTGAAGGACTCTCATAAGATAGGAGGGGGAAGGAGAGAGTCGCTTTTTTCTTCCCCAAGGCTTCTTCTCCCCGGCTCCCTTGCTGAGTCCTGACTCCAGGGGCTTAGATTGACCCCTGTCCTTCCTCTCTCGCAGCCAGCAGGACGCCCAGGAATTCCTGCGTTTCCTTCTCGATGGGCTCCACAGTGAGGTGAACCGGGTTCTGGTCCGTCCCAAAGGCCACAGTGACAACCTGGACCATCTACCGTGAGTCCCAGCAGAAGCAAAGCACCGGGATAAGCTTTGGGGGGCGGGGGCTGGAGACAACTGGGTGCTGATGCCCCTGACCTAAAACAATGGCGGCGTTTCTGTTTTTTCTTCCGTTGTTTCTCCTCCGTCTAATGCAGTGTTTCCCAAACTTGACAATTTTAAGGCATGTGGACTTCAACTCCCAGAATTCCACAGCCAGCAATGCTGGCTGTGGAATTCTGGGAGTTGAAGTCCACATGCCTTAAAATTGTCAAGTTTGGGAAACACTGGTCTAATGGCACAAATCATTCCTCCTGCAGAAAATTAGTTAAGAAAGGAAGAAAGCAAAGTATGAATAAGGATCTGTGGAAAAATTTAATTAATTTAATTTAATTCTGAACTCCCCACGACCCGCTAGCTGAAAAAGAGCAGGGACCTTGCAAAGGTCATAGCCAAGGGGGGGGGTTACAAAGCCCATGGTCTTTGGGGCAGCCTCCCTCCATCCCGGGGGCTTCTGGGAGAATCATCCATGTGGATCTCAGCTGAGAAAACCTCTTCACCGTCTCTCTTGCGTGTCTCTGGCAGGGACGACGAGAAGGGGAGGCAGATGTGGATGAGATACCTAGCAAGAGAAGACAGCCGGATTGGGGGTGAGTATCTGGTGGAGCAGTCCCCCCCCCAGCAGCCCCCAAAAAGGAGTTTGGGGGCTGCTGGACCCGAGCCAAAAGGTCCACCTCAACCTTGGCGACTTTCAGAGGGGTGGACTTCAGTTCCCAGGATTCCCTAGTCGGCATGCTTTAAAGAGGGGTGGACTTCCCCTTCCAGAATCCCACAGCCAGAATTCTTAAATCCTTGACATCGTCAAGTTGCCAAGGTTAAGAAAAACCAAATTAAGATGTATCGTGGTTTGGCTAACTTTCTGGACCGAAATACCCATTTGGACTTTGGACAGCATGTCTGGAGGAGTGTCTCAGAAAGAGGTCTGTTGTAGGAGAGGGGAAGGTCAAACCCCATTTCCAACTAGAGCAGTGGTTCTCAACCTTTTTAATGCCGCGACCCCCAACCGGTCGTAAGTCGAGGACTACTCAACTGGTGCAGCACCGTTTGCAGAATGGGACTTTTGGCGGGCTCCGCAGGGCAGAGACAGCCTGGACAATTCCTATTGGCTTTTGAAAGCCAATAGAATTAGACTCTATTCAAGAGAGTCTATTCTATTGGCTTTCAAAAGCCAGTAGAATAAAAGGGAGTAGCACAGCTAAGGAAAAGGGGGAAAAAAATGGCGGACTGCATTGTTTGGCGACCCCCGTGAAATGGTCGTTCGACCCCAAATGGGGTCCCGACCCACAGGTTGAGAACCACTGGGCTAGAGGATCTCCCCACCAGCCCCTCTGCCTCTTTCTTTCCTTCACCCACTCCTGGGAATTCTCTGTCAATTGAGTTGCTGGTCACACAGGAATAAGAAGGACTAGCAGCATCAGGTTTTTTTATTGACAAAACGCACTGGGGGTGATTCACAGAATTATCAGGAGAGTCTCAGCTCCCCTTAGCTGTAGATCTGTGTTACTCAACCCTAGCTAATTTAAGGCCAGGATGTGCTGCCGGGGAATTCTGGGAGTTGAAGTCCACATGTCTTAAAGTTGCCATGGTTGAGAAATATTGGCTTAGATTGACATGGCCATCAACGGCGTCCTTTGTGGATTTCAAAGATGGTTAAATCTTCAAAAACACCCTAATGAGCCTAATCAGCATAACTACCTCTTTAAAAACTGGTTTAAAGAATAGTTCCTTTTTGTTCAAGCTTGCCACTTTCTTTCAGTTTCGTTTCCTTTTAAAATTTGTATACCAGGCCAGGTTTGATCTTGATGTTCTCGGATCAAAGCCAGGAAAAGCAATTTTCATTGAATTTGTTCATTGAACTGTTGATATTTATAGAACTCTTGACTAAATATGGTTAACAGAACTTATCCAATGTCATTTTGTAAAAACTTCCTTAGGTATTTCAAAGCAACATTTCAATTGCAATGAAGTGTGGGTATTTTTTATTTTAGTAATTAACCCTGGCTATCAAATCCACTCAAATTACCTTTTTCTCTTTTTACTGTATTAATCTTCCTAACGCTGGACCCCCCCCCCCATTTGACAAACTAAACTCATGCTAACTTTTTAGAAAAACATTTTGACCTTTCAAACCACCAAACTTTGTTCATTCAGTTCTAAGTTACCTGGTGATTCAAGGCCACAGAAGAAGCTGTGTTAAATTTGTGGCTGCAATTAACACGTTTGCTTCCCAGCAATTAAACTGGCAACCCACCAGGTTGGGAATCAGGAGCCACAAAGTTCAAAGAGCATTTCACAATCTCTGAAATTCCTCAGCTGATTTTGGAACTGATCTCCACCATGCTTAGATCTAGGCATGGGAAGAGAAGCCTCAAAAGGCCTTGAGAAATCGAGTTGAGATCCAATCCCAGTCAAGACTTTGAAGCTTCTTTCTAAAACTTACAATAAAACACTGACTTTTGCTGCCACTGTTGCACATCATACCTATCCACGTAACTAGACCGGGGGTAACTCCTACGCAGAGAAGCATCAATGAACAACATTATCCTGAGCTTGCACAACAAATGAGGTCAAAAGCAAGTTGGCTGGTTTGTGACTAAGGGTATTGAGATGACACAGCCATGAGATCAGATCCTCTGTTCTCGTTCTTGGATGACGTGAAGCATCTCTGCAAGCATTCAGGCAGAAGAAGGTCCATCTTTTCCCTCTGTACCAGCTGCTTGGTCACCCATCTTTATATTCCCCGTCTTCTCTTTCTTTAGATCTCTTTGTTGGGCAGCTGAAGAGTTCCTTGACCTGCAGTTCTTGTGGCTATTGCTCCACCGCCTTTGATCCCTTCTGGGACCTGTCCCTGCCCATTGCCAAGGTAACCCTCCACGCCCTGGGGCTCCTATTTGACCCCCCCATTTGACCCCCAGATCTGCCTCTTCTTGTATTGGGAACCTAACCTCTTGGACCTTGGTTTCTCTCTCTCTCTCCCTCTCTCTCTCTCTCTCTCTCTCTCTCTCTTTCTTTCTTTCTCTCTCTCTCTCTCTTTTTCGTCCTTCGGCAGAAAAGCTACGGCGAGGTGAATTTGATTGATTGCATGCGACTCTTCACCAAGGAGGACGTTCTGGATGGAGACGAAAAACCCGTAAGTCCAGATGGGGAGGGGAGTGCAAAAAAACTCATCAGTCAGGTTTCTGCACCCAGTTCACGTCTCTTATTCCAAATATTTCTGAGTCCTCAATTTCAAAATCAGCCACCGGGTGGATTTTTTAAAATTTTCTGATTTGGAGTTTTGCACAAGATGGTGGTGATGATGATGATGATGATTTTAAGAATCATAAAGTTGGAAGGAACCTGGGAGGTCTTCCAGTCCAACGTTGGAAGTTATTTCTTTGGTTCTGGAAAACCTTGTTGCAAAAGCTGGATCTACGTTTCAAGATTAATGGGTTGGGAAACATCAGACATGCCTACTCTTCTTCTTAACTGTTGCTTCGTGCGGTGGCTATGTCAGCCTCTGGCTCATGTGAAGCTTAACAGAACATAACAGAAAAACAGACTTGGAAGGGACCTTGGAGGTCTTCTAGTCCAGCCTCCTGCTCAAGCAGGAGACTCTATACCAGCGGTTCTCAACCTATGGGTCGCGACCCCATTTGGGATCGATTGCCCATTTTTCGGGGGTCGCCAAAGGCGGCAATCTGCCATTTTTCGCAGTGCCGTGCACGCGCGCCGCGCATGGGGGCGCCGCCGCGCATGCGCGCCGTGCATGGGGGAGCACCGCGCATATGCGTCGCACATGGGGGTGCCGCCGTGCACGCGCATGCGCGTGGGGGGCGTCGCGCATGCGCGTTGCGCGTGGGGGTGGCCCGGCGCATGCGCGCCGCGCGTGGGGGGCCGCCCCCATGCGCACGGCCCGGCGCATGCGCAGAACGTTTGTGTGACGGGGGTCGCTGTCACACAAACGTTGAGAAGTACTGCTCTATACCATTTCAGACAAATGCTTGTCCAATCTCTTAAAAACCTCCAGTGATGAGGCACGAACAACTTTTAAAAGCAAATTGTTCCACTGATTAATTGTCCTAACTGTCAGAAAATTCCTCCTTAGTTCCAAGTTGCTTCTCTCCTGGATTAGTTTCCATCCGTTGCTTCTTGTCCTGCCCTCTGGTGCTTTGGAGAATAGCTTGACTGCCTCTTCTTTATAGCAGCTCCTCCATTATTGGAAGACTGATAAAATGTCACCCCTAGTTGATAATCTTAAATTTAGGATTTTTGACCTGTGGAGGAGCTGAGTCCATAATGGGAGGGCTGCCTTGAAGGTTTCCATCAATCTGCCCATATCAGTTTTCCTCTAAAAATAAGGGGTTTTCTTTGTGAAATCAAATTTGGCCCTGCTGGTCTTCCACTGGCCGCCCTTGTGGTTAACCCGACCCTTTCAGCTGATCTAGCCAATCCTTGCTACTCTTTCCCCCCAACTGGTGCCACAAGTCCGATATCTCTCCCACGCACACATCTTCAGAGGTCCTCCCCTAAACCCTGGTTGTTGTTTGTCCCTGCAGACGTGCAGCCACTGCAAAGCGAGGACGAAATGCATGAAGAAATTCAGCATCCAACGCTTCCCCAAGATTCTGGTTTTACGTATCCTTTCTTTTTGCCAGAGGACGTGGCCCGACCGACTTATTTATTATGAAATTGATTTGCCGCCCATCTCGTATCCAACTACTATGGGAGGCTACCTGGTGAGGAGACCTCACCTGCAGATGAGCGGTGACGTGACGGGTTTCTGTCAGCATCCATCAGGTGCAGACAATTTTACTGGACCCAGAATCCAGCCAGTGGAGGACTTAGCTTGAACAGTCTATTATTTCAAGATCCTAGTCCTCTTGGGTTTGAGAATGCTCAGGGCTTTTTTTTTCCAATGCAGTAGAATATAAAAGAAAAGTACAGCCTCAACCTTTTGCTTTCCATTTCTTGTAGCTAAGGCTAGAAAGCGGGAGATCATGCGTTCAAGTCCTGACTTAGCCATGAAAGCCAACTGGATGACCTTGGATCAGTCCTTCTCTCTCTCAGCCCAGCCCACCTCACAGGGTGGTTCTCATTGGGAAAATAGGAGGAGGACGTTGTGTTGGATATGTTTGCTGCCTTGAATTATTTGTAAAAATAACAAAATACAAAATAAATAAATAAAGATCCTTCCATTGAACCGCTTGCCCCGCCCCCTTTTTCCTTAATTCCTCGCCCAGACCTGAAACGTTTCTCCGAAGCCAGGATGCGATCCAGCAAACTCACCACTTTCGTCAATTTCCCGCTGAAGGATCTGGATCTACGGGAATTTGCCTCCCAGAGTTGCAGTGAGTATCTCCTGTAGGTTTTGGAAGAACCAGCCAGGTGGTTGGGGGGGGTCATCTAGGCCAGCAGCCCCCAACCTTTTGGGCACCAGAGACCACTTTCATGGAGGGGAGTTTTTCCATGGACCTGGGGGGGATGTGGTGTCAAGCCCTGCCTCACCCCCACACGTGTGTGTATGGGGCTTTGCTCGCTTGCACAGACCAGTTCATGGAAGGCTGTGGACCGATGGTGATCCACAGCCCGGAAGTTGGGGACCCCTGATCCAGGCCAAGCAGGATGAGTAACTGAGGACAGACCTCTGAACTTTCTTCCCCACAAATCCAGTTAAACAAATGCACACAAACACAGCCTGGTTGTTTGATTCCACCCTCTGCCTGGAATTTTAAAGGAAACCTGAAGCGGGATTCACTTCCTTGACCTGTTCAGGAGGTGTTAATTTTGGAAAACGTTTGAAATGAGCCCCCCGCAGGAGTGGATCCAGTCTGGGAGATCCATTTCGTTATTTGTTTGTATTACACATTTCTCAACAGGCCAGTTCCCTCCAAGAGGGACTCTTGCACCATGAAACAACCCGTGGACCAGTGGTTCTCAACCTATGGGTCGGGACCCCATTTGGGGTCGAACGACCATTTCACGGGGGTCGCCAAACAAGGCTGTCCGCCATTTTTTCCCCCTTTTCTTTGGCCACGCCCCTGGCACCTGGTGATGTATAAGTGGTTGGGGGTCACCACAACATGGGGAACTGTATCATGGGGTCGCAGCATTAGAAAGGTTGAGAACTACTGACGTGGACGATACGTGCGCCACCATTTAAATCTAGTTTTCAGAATTGTTGAAAAAAAAATGGGGGCTGTCCTTTTCTCTCAGGGCTTCCGCCCACCTCCCACGTTTTAGGAAAAAATGAAGAAGTTGAGCGACCGGTTTTGAGGAAGGCTTACAAAATTTGTGAGGGAGCAGCAATATTTCACCCTGGTACCCTCTCCAGAACCATCGTTGTGAAATGGGCGGCTACATTAATAATACAAAATAATGAGATAAAAATAAAGATTAAAAACTTCTCCCTCCAAAAGTCCTATTGGGAGCCAAGATTGTGATGAAGGGATTTTTTTTTTTAATTTCATCTTTTTGCAAAAATCAGACTTTCCACGAACATTAAAGCAGGGCAAATCCTGCTAGCGATATTTGGGGAGTGCAATTGCAGGCTTCCGATCCAGGCCACCTCAGGCTTTTGCACACCCAGTGGTGAACGAAAGCCTCACAAGACTGCAATTTGGCTTCTTCCATTTTCAGATCACGCGATCTACAACCTCTACGCCATCTCCAACCACAGCGGGACCACGATGGGTGGCCACTACACGGCCTACTGCAAGAGTCCCGTCTCCGGAGAATGGCACGCCTTCAACGACTCACGGTAAGCAGGCACCCGGCCTTTCCGTCCACGATCCCAACTCTTTCCCCAAGCAGGAGAGGTCAACCATCTTGCTCAGCCACAAAAATATTGAGCTCAATTCTGGCTGTAAGTTGAGGACTGCATGTGGTTCTGTGTTTGCCTGTCATCATTCAGCCCAGAAAACAAATTCTCCCTTTCAAAAGGCAGAGTTTTAGTCCTCAAACTCTCTTACTAATCCAGGTTTCCTTTCCTTCCATTTCCTTTCCTTTACCTTCCATTTCTTTTCCTTCCATTTTCTTTCCTTTATCTTCCCTTTCCTTTCCTTCCATTTCCTTTCTTTTCCTCCCATTTCCTTTCCTTCTATTTCCTTTTGTTATCTTCCATTTCTTTTCCTTCCATTTCCTTTCCTTTACCTTCCATTTCTTTTCCTTTACCTTCCATTTCTTTTCCTTCCATTTCCTTTACCTTCCCTTCCCTTTCCTTTCCTTTCCATTTCCTTTCCTTTATCTTCCATTTCTTTTCCTTTCCTTTACCTTCCCTTTCCTTTCCTTTCCTTTACCTTCCCTTTCCTTTCCATTTCCTTTCCTTTATCTTCCATTTCTTTTCCTTTCCATTTCCTTTCCTTTATCTTCCATTTCCTTTCCTTCCATTTCCTTTCCATTTCCTTTCCTTTATCTTCCATTTCTTTTCCTTTCCATTTCCTTTCCTTTATCTTCCATTTCCTTTCCTTCCATTTCCTTTCCTTTATCTTCCCTTTCCTTTCCATTTCCTTTCCTTTGTGTTCCATTTCTTTTCCTTCCATTTCCTTTCCTTTATCTTCCATTTCCTTTCCTTTATCTTCCCTTTCCTTTCCTTTCCATTTCCTTTCCTTTATCTTCCATTTCTTTTCCTTTCCTTTACCTTCCATTTCCTTTCCTTTATCTTCCCTTTCCTTTTCTTTCCTTTCCATTTCCTTTCCTTTATGTTCCATTTCTTTTCCTTCCATTTTCTTTCCTTCCATTTCCTTTCTCTTTTCTTTTCTTAACTAATCAGTATAACGTTCAGGTAGTCCTCAGTTTACGACTGGTCGCTTAGCGACCATTTGGAATTACAGTGAGCCCAGAATGGGTTTACAGCCCATAAAGTACTTCTGGCCATCGTAAAATGTGCCCCACACATGCACATTGTCTCATGACACCTACGCCCATCTTTGCAACCAGTCGCAGCATCCTCCAGTCACCTGACCACGATTTGAGACTATTTTACCAATTTCCAGCAAAACAAAACCCACCCATTCAGAAGAATGGCTTCATGCTTACAACCGAAGCATTCCCTTAACAATCACAGTAATTCATTTAAGGTCCACCGGAAAAATTGTCCTTGAATCAGGTCCAATCACATGGATGCCTGGACTTAGGATCCCAGTGACGTATGAGCAGAAATCTGCTCCGAATTGTAGTCATAAGTCAAGGATTATCTGTACTCCCCATCTTTACTCCTTAGGGCTGGAGGGAGTGTGGGTCAGAACCAGTTAGAAATTAAAGTAGGCGTCTTCCCCTGCCAGTTTTCCTTACCTCTGTTCTTTGTTTACACCCCACCCCATCCCAGATGGGTCTACCCTCCTCTTAACGCCGGTTTCGCTTTCTGTTCCTCCCACAGCGTCACGCCGATATCCCTGGGCCACCTCCGCAGCAGTGATGCCTATCTCCTCTTCTACGAGCTGGCCAACCCGTCTTCCCGAATGTAGCTTCCAGGTCACGCTCCCCACCACCACCACCACCACGCAGGTCCCTCTGGAAAGGAATCCTTGTAATATCCCGGAAGAAGGGCGCGAACCAAGCACCAGCTCGGGAGAGGGTGGGGAACGTGCAGACCCAGGACAATGGTGATTGGATGGATTTTTTTTCTAAGTTGGGTTTTCCCCCCCTTTTTTTCCTAAAAAACAAGCAAAAGCAAAAAAAGAGAGAGAGAGAGAGAGAGAGAGAGAGAGAGAAAGTGAGGGAGGGAGAAAATGCTAATAAAGCGTTAACTAAAGTTGCTGGCCTTTAAGGGGACACCTTTCTCCCACATACGGGACTAAAGATGGAGAAAACCAGAAAGAAAACACCATCCTTGGTGGGCAGGTTCCACGTCGCTCCAAAAATGTTCTCAGGGGTGGTTTCCTATGTTTTCCTTCCCTCCCTTTTCCTTCTCCCTTTCTCTCCTCGTCTGCGCACACTCCTCCTCTTTCACCATTTGGTGTGCCGTAAGCCACAAACAGCTGCTGCTCTTTTGGGGGGGAGCAGGAACCTGCCTCTCCCCCTGTGTTCCCTTGGGGGTGTTGGAGCTGAGCCACGGAGGTGTTTTCTCCCTGTCCGATGCCAGTCGGGCACCCACTTCATCCAGGAAGTTGCAGAACTAGATGAGGTTTACTGGAATCCGATTTTGCATCTTAGATCCAGGCGAGGTGCGTCAGTTCCTGGACAGTTTTTGCACAACTCTTGCACGACTGTCCACAGGGGTTGCAAGGGATTTCTCTGCAGGAACCGTGGACTTCAAGTCCTATCTCTTCGCGTCAGGTGGGGGCTGCTGTTGGTGTCTTTTTTTCTTCTTTTTTACAAACTGGAAGCATCTGTGGATGGATTTTATGGACTTTATTCACAAAAGCAGAGACTCGCTGGGTCAAGTTCTACCCGTTTCCTTGTCACGACCGTGCCTTAATGCCTCCAGACGAAAGACACGATGCATTTCAGTGGGGATCCAAATGCCCTTCAAAAAGGGACACGAGGGCACAACCAGCAGAAATTTGACCCTTTCCCTCGGCTTTCTTCTCCTGCTGTCCCAACCCCGGCTTTACCTCACTGCACCATTCACACATGTAGATATTTCCCTCCTTCGTCCTGGGATGGAGGCCATTCAGGAACGCTTTGGACCGTTTGCACTGCCTTTCCGGAATGAGGATTGCTTGGGTTCGGTTTTCGTTTTGGTTCTCGTGGTGTGCATGCCGGGGAGTCGCCCAAACGCACCTCGTTGGAGGGTTTTTTGAGCCAGTTTGGGAGCGATGGCCTTGGAGGGGCAGCTAACCAGCCTCAGCAAACTCCCTCATCCTCTTATTTATTCTCCGTCCCACCCCACACGGCCAACCTTTCAGCCCACATTCGAAGAACATTTGAAGCGCTGGGAATTAAGAGGCACCTTTATGGTTTTGCAACCAGACAACCTTCATTGGGTAGAAATCCCCCTCCCCTGTTTTATTTCCCTCCCCTTTTTATCCCCCGCCCCTCGCAAAGCTCTGAAAAAGCACCAAGCCGACTTTAAATGACAGCCGCCCCAGTTTTGAATTAAGCAGAGCATCGAGGTCAGTTTTAGTGGGCATCTTGGTTTGCAGCCCAAGGGATGCTGCTCGACTCCTTTCTGCCAATCTCACGGCCTTCCCCCCCCCAAAAAAATGCCCCCCTTGCATATTTCACTCCATTTCAAGCGGGCAGATGCTCAGGACCCCAGGGGAAGGCAGAAGGGGTAACCCAGATGTCCAGGGTCCTGCTAGCGCAGCCTTTCTCAGTGTTACTATTTTGCTTGATTTGGGACGAGGTAGTTTTGTTTTGGGTTTTTTTGTGTGTGTTTGTTTTTTTGGTTTATCAGTTTGGACTGAACAGCTTGTTTACTGTGTAAGCAAGGCTGGGGGAGGGACTGTGGTCGCTCAGGAAGGAGGCTTGTACAGAAATAAAATTGTAACTTGATGAACACCCACCGCGTTTGTGCACAAGTGTCTGTAAATAGTGGGCAAGAAGTCTTTCTGATGGGAAGGGTGGGCTATGCAGTAAGAAGCCCCCCAGCCCCTGATGAGCTGTGGGGTTTTGACTCCTGCTGGATTTGCCACAATCAGTGGGGTAGGCATCTGGATGGTGGACCCAATGCATTTTCTCGGAAGGAGGAGGGCTCGGCTGGTGGACCTCAGGATTCCTTCGGGGCTTGGACACAACAGATGTAGGCTGTACTTCTGCAGGAAAAGCTGAAGAACGTTGCTGTCTATTCACAGGCAGGAAGGTGTTACAGGACAGGAGGGCCTCACTTTGCTCAAATATGAATTGAATTGAATACTTTATTTGACCAGGTGTGATTAGACACAGAGAAGTAACCTAGAACTAAAAAGAAATTTCCTGAGAGTTAGAACAATTAATCAGTGGAACAACCTGCCTCCAGAAGTTGTGGGTGCTCCATCACTGGAAGAAGAGACTGGACAACCATTTGTCTGAAATGGTATAGGGTTTCCTGCCTGAGCAGGAGGTTGGACTAGATCAGTGGTTCTCAACCTGTGGGTCGGGACCCCATTTGGGGTCGAACGACCATTTCACGGGGTCCCCAAACAAGGCTATCCGCCATTTTTTCCCCTTTTCTTTGGCCACGCCCCTGGCACCTGGTGATGTATAAGTGGTTGGGGATCACCACAACATGGGGAACTGTATTATGGGGTCACGGCATTAGAAAGGTTGAGAACCACTAGACTAGATGATCTCCAAAGTCCCTTCCAACTTTATTATTATTGTTATTGTTGTTGTTATTATTATAGATTGGACAGCCATTTGTCTGAAATGGTATAGGGTTTCCTGCCTGAGCAGGGGATTGGACTAGATGACCTCCAAGGTCTCTTCCAACTTTATTAATTATTATTATCATCATCTCCGGCGCAGAAGCTTTCCGTGTACATGCAAAACAGCAGAGTAATAATGTAGTCGTTATAATGAAACCAATAAGAGAAGGTGGTAGAACAAAAGAGAAGGATAAGAGTAATACAGCCATACTACATGAGTAAATAACCTTAGATGAAGACAGTACTGTGGGAATTAGGTGTTCAGCAGAGTGATGGCACAAGGGAAGAAAACAGTCTAGTTGTTTTGGCATCCAGTGTGCCCTGTAACGCCCTCCCGTGGCTGAAGAGAGGAGCCAGGAGCTTTAGATGCTCTGGGACGTGGGGAGGGGACAGGTGTGGGCTCCAAAATGCATCTTCCATTTTTGCACAGTGGGGAAAAAGAGTGTGATGGCATTGAGGTAGTCCTTGACATACAACTATTCCTTAGGTGAACATTCAAAGAAATGGCGGCACTGAAAAAGATAACTTGTGGCCGTTCCTCACACTTACGACCTTTGCAAGCATCCTCACGGTCACGTGATCAAAATTTGGAAGCCTGGACGGTTGCAGCCTCCCAGGGTCACGCGATCCCCTTTTGCGACCTCCTGACAAGCAAAAACAACAGGGAAGCCAAAAATCACTTAACAATCGTGTGACTAATTTAGCATCTGCAGTGATCCACTTAACGGCTGTGGCAACAAAGGTCACAAAATGGGGCAAAGTTCGCTTAACTCTCTCGCTTAGCAATGGAACTTACGGGCTCAGGTGTGATCATAAGTCGGGGCCCCTCTGGGAGCCTGTTCGTTGCTGTGTGGTGTTGTATGATCCCCGGAGAAAGTGACTTTATACCTTTCTTAAGGGTTGGGCTAAAGCCGAAGTGAGGCTCGATCGCCTTTGCCACCTGCAGCTTGGCTCGCTGATACGAGCTAGGCGTTCTTCTCTTTCCTGGAAGTCGCCTGATCCTTCCCGGCGGGACACCCTGACTGAGTTAATTGCCTCTCCGGCTTACAAAAGGCGGACTAACCTCGGTAGCAAGATTAGGGAGGCAAAGGCAGCCAAGGGTGCGGATTAATCATTGAAAAACAAACTTGGGTCCATTCTTTCCCAAGCAATTGAGCAGGCAAACAATGACCTCTTTGTCCCCAGCTTTCAGGAACAGACCAGAAAGGTTTTGCAATCATTCTACGGGCCGCTTGGAATGTGCATCTCTTAGCAACATGCCGGTCCTGTGGAAAGGACGGCACTGCCAATGCCAGTCTGACGCAACGGGAAGGAAGAGAGCTTTGGCACCCAGGAAGGACGGGGAGTCCTCGGCTGGAATTTCCATTGCTGAGCAAGGTGGCCATTCAGGGAGATGCGCCCAATTTTACGACCGTTTTCGCCAGGGTTGTTAAGCGAATCACTGCAGGCATTGTGGATCACAGGGTCATTTCAGTGAAGCTGGCTTCTCCCGTTGGTCTTTTTTTTTTCCCCTTGTTGGAAGCTGGCTGGGAAGATCACAAATGGCGACCCCAGGATGCTGTAACGGTCAGAAATACATGCTGGTTGCCTGAATTGTGATCACATGACTGTGGGGATACAGGTAGTCCTCGACTTAAGAATGGTTCATTTAGTGACCGTTCAAAGTTGTAACCACTCTGAAAAAAAGTGACACGACCATTTTTCACACTTACAACCGTTGCATGATTAATAATTATAACTAAGATCTATGATATAGGACCTATCATTTTGTTGTTTGTATGTACACTGAGAGCTTCTGCACCAGAGACAAATTCCTTGTGTGTTCAATCACACTTGACTAACAAAGAATATTTTATTCTGTTCTGTTCTTGTTCTTGTTCTGTTATTCTGTCCTAGTCTGTCCTATTCTACTCTACTCTACTCTACTCTACTCTACTCTACTCTACTCTACTCTACTCTACTCTACTCTCTACTCTACTCTATTCATCCTATCTCCTATTCTTTCAGTTTGAAGGACTTGGCCACCCTTTGTTGTTTGTAGGATCCTTTGTGATACTTGCACTATATTTAGCAAAATATAGTGCAAAAGTGCAACTATTTTTCACCACTTCTGTAGCATCCCACCCCAAATTGGGAAATATATATAAATATATGCCCCTTTGGCAAGACATTTGCTTGTTCAGATGCCCAGGTCCAGCTGGGCAGTGCTGTGTCTTTAAGAGCACCATAGCCCGTGCCAGGGCCTCTGACCTGGCGGAGTCCTCAGCTGAGTTGGATTAAGGCACCGGGGCGCCTGGTGGCTTTCATGCTTGCGCATTCTTTCTTTTCCTAGCAGCTTAACAAGTCCCTTTTCCCAAGGCTCTGTTGGCCAGGAATGGGCTGTGGTCTTGAAAACAAGATCTAGGGCCGGTTGGTTGAATCAACCCATCACCTTCTCCGGGAAGGAGAAAAAAATCCATCAATTTGCAGCCCCATCTCGCCCTTTGGACATCTTTTACCAAGGAGAAGAACTTTCGGTCCATGCAGTGAAGGTCAAAAGTTTCCTGGAAGATCTGCCACTGAAGAAAGCCAGATGCCACAAGAGGGGGGAACATGTGGCAGCCCCAGACAGGCAGGGATCCTGTCCACGTATCCCCCAATCTCCTTCTTGGTAATGAAGGACTTCACCAAGGCCATCTGTCACCCGGAGGCACTGAATCAAAACCAGGTATGCACAGACCAGCTGCTTTGATGATGCTTTGAGCTCCACGTCACCAACCAACGGGGATCAGGGAGGTCCACTGTCCATCCTTTTGTGTGTTGCATGATTGTGGCCATCATACTGATCTTTTTTTGTAACATCCTATGGAACCCCCATTAGGGAAACACCCAAAGATTTTGTCTAACCCCTTCCCTAAGGGGAAATTTGAAAAGCCATGCTGAAATCTCCATAAATATAGCTCTTCCCCCCACCCCACCCCCGGTTTCAGTCTTCTGGTGTGTTCACTTCCTGGATCTCTGGAAATTATACTTTGTTAGAGTGCACATCCCTGGAGAGGAAGGGACCTTGTGGCGAGCAGCACATCATGAGAAGCCAACTTCCTTTGGAGAGGGTTACTTAGGATGATAGAAATGTTGGCCTTGCAGATTTTTAACCAGAGATTACATTTCCACTTCTGTTCCTAGCTGGAAAACTAACACGATGGCAATAAGAAGGTTAAGAGAGGGCAGATAAACATTTTAACAGCACAATAAGCAAGGGTTGCCTTTGTTCAGTGCAAAGATTGGCCTCACTTGTGTTTGGAGCAGTTGAAGAAAGTTGTGGCAAGGCACAAAAAGGGATGCCTAAAATTTTGGAGAAGAGGCAAGATCTTGCAGTGGATACCACTTGGGGCACCCTTGAGGTTCAGCCTAGTAGCATGGCTGAGATGGGACAGTGATCAAAGTAATTCCAGCTTCAGGTCCAGACTGTGTCCTTGGGGCTTTTGGTCTGATGCCATAATTGTGATATGGACAAAAAGCCAGTTTGGCCTGGGGGGTCAAGGCATCAGGCTAGAAACTGCAGATGGGTGACTTTGGGCCAGTCACCAGGAGACGGTGAGTTCTAGTCCCAGCTTAGTCCCATTTTAGGCATGAAAGCCAGCTGGGGGACTTTGAGCCAGTCACTCTCTCTCAGCCAAACTCACCTTATAGGATTGCTGTTGGAGGGATAATAGGAAGAAGGGGTGTTGGATATGTTTGCCACCATGAATTATTTGTAAAATATTGTGGGATATAAAGAAATGGATAGACAGACAGACAGACAGACAGACAGACAGACAGTAATCCTACAAGCCAACCTTGCAAGGTGATGCCACAAGCATTATTGCTACACTGGAAGGTGTCCAGCCCAGCCATCGGCTGCTTGCAACAGATCCTGACCCCTTAAGGGCTGAGTTTACTGGGGAAAAGAGAGTTTGCTTGCTCCCTTGATGATTTCTGCGAAAACCAGTGATCACATTGACCAAGAATGTAAGAGAGGATCCAGCACGTTCTCTCTCTCTGTGGGAAGCCAGGTTATCAGGGCTTGAGACATATCAATCTGCCGAGCTTAAAGAAGAGACAGAATTGCATTTGATGAGCCCCTGCCTTTTTTTTTCTGGAGCAAACCAGATTTTCTGGCTTGGCAATCAGAGATTCCAAACATTTCACCGTTCCAAGTCGGAACATGGTTAGGGCTGTGTACAGTATTTTCGTTCCGGCTTCTTCCGCTGCTTGGTGGGTTTAATTGACATTTTGTGGGCTGCTCAGTCCCAAAGCGTGCTTTATTATTTGGAACTGTTGGAGGGAGACTCCTCTGTCTGCTCCAAAATGCCAAAACTGGCTTGCAAGAAAAAAAACCAAAGAGTTACTTAAAAGGGCGAGGAGACTACAGGAGACCCAATGGATTGAAAATGCCCCCTTTTTATGCCCCAGGAGACTGTCATGTTGTCTTTGCCACCGAACTTGCTGACGGCGTTCTCCAATCCTGTGTTTGAGGAGGACGGCGAGGCTCTGGCCCAGAACCAGCTGGAGGAGGAGAAGAGCAGTGATGCCAAACTCACCGCCAATGGATTTGGTATCGATAGGTCCATGTTTCGGAGGGGCGCTGAGACAGGACAACAGGACAAGCAAGACAGGGACAGCCGGTTTGGTGTTAAAGTGAAGAGGCTGGACTAGAAACCGAGAGGTTATGAGTTCAAGTCTTCTTTAGCCCAAACCACCGCAGCAGGGAGTTGCTGTTAGGAAAAGAGAGCATTGTGTATCTTGCCTTGAGTTGTACTGATGCAAAGATGGGATATTCGCCTGTTAAGCGTAATAGTTACAGAGGAGATGGTTTGGTGGTGCAGTCCCATCATTCCAGAGTCGTTGGCTCACATTTCTATTGCAGTGGTTTCCCAAAGCTTGATTCCAACTGCCATCTCTCCAGGCCAGCAGGATTTAGAGCTACACTGCCTAGGGGGATTGTGGGAATTGGTCCGAGTGAGTGAGAAACATGGGGGTTGAAGTCCACCAGGCAGGCAGGCAGACAGGCAGGCGAAAGAAATAGGATGGAAGGGAGGGAGGGAGGGAGGGAGGGAGGAATGGAGGGAGGGAGGGAGGGAGGGGAAGGAAAGGAGGGAGGGAGGAGAAGGAAAGGAGAGAGGGAGGGAGGGAGGGATGGAAGGAGGGGAAAGAGGAGAGAGGGAGGAGGGGAAGGAGAGAGGGAGGGAGGGAGGGAAGGAAGGGGAGGAATGAGGGAGGAGGGAGGGAGGGAAGGAAAGGAGGGAGGGAGGGGAAGGAAAGGAGAGAAGGAGGGAGGGAGGGATGGAAGGAGGGGAAAGAAAGGAGAGAGGGAGGGAGGGGAAGGAGAGGAGGGAGGGAGGGAGGGAGGGAGGAAGGAATGGAGGGAGGGAGGGAGGGAGGGGAAGGAAAGGAGAGAAGGAGGGAGGGAGGGATGGAAGGAGGGGAAAGAAAGGAGAGAGGGAGGGAGGGGAAGGAGAGGAGGGAGGGAGGGAGGGAGGGAGGGAGGAAGGAATGGAGGGAGGGAGGGAGGGAGGGGAAGGAAAGGAGGGAGGGAGGAGAAGGAAAGGAGAGAAGGAGGGAGGGAGGGAGGGATGGAAGGAGGGGAAAGAAAGGAGAGAGGGAGGGAGGGGGGAGGGAGGGAGGGACGAGGGAAAGGGACGGAAAGAAGGAAGGAATGGAGGGAGGGGGGAGGAGGGGGAAGGAAAGGAGGGAGGGAGGAGAAGGAAAGGAGAGGAAGGAGGAGGGAGGGAGGGACGGACGGAGGGGAAAGAAAGGAGGAAGGGCGGGAGGGGAAGGCGGGGGGCGGGAGGGAGGGAGGAGGAAGGGAAATGGAGGGAGGGAGGGAGGGAAGGAAAGGAGGGAGGAGAAGGAAAGGAGAGAAGGAGGGAGGGAGGAGGACGGAAGGAGGGGAAAGACACGGAGAGAGGGCGGGAGGGGAAGGATGCGGAGGGAGGGAGGGAGGAGGAAGAATGGAGGGAGGGAGGGAGGGAGGGGAAGGAAAGGAGGGAGGAGGGAGAAGGAAAGGAGAGAAGGAGGGAGGGAGGAGGGACGGAGGATGGGGGAAAGAACGGCGAGCAAGGGAGATGGAGGAGGGGAAGGGCGGAAGGGAGGGAGGGGAGGGAGGAAGGAAAGGAGGGAGGGAGGGAGGAGGGGACGGAAAGGAAGGGAGGGAGGAGAAGAAAGGAGAGAGGGAGGGAGGGTAGGGATGGAAGAGGGGAAAGAAGGAGAGAGGGAGCGGAGGGGACGGAGAGGAGGGAGGGAGGGAGGGAGGAAGGAAGAGGGAGGGAGGGAGGGGAAGGAAAGGAGGGAGGGAGGAGAAGGAAAGTGAGAGAGGGCGGGAGGGAGGCGAGGGATGAAGGAGGGGAAAGAAAGGAGAGAGGGAGGGAGGCAGGAATGGAGGGAGGGAGGGAGGTGAGGGAGGCAAGAATGGAGAGAGGGAGGGAGGAGGGGGGAAAGAAAGGAGGAGAAGGACGGGAGGGAGGGAGGGATGGAAGGCGGGGAAAGAAAGGAATAGAGGGAGGGAGGGAATGGAGAGGATGGGAGGGAGGGAGGAAGGAATGGAGGGAGGGAGGGAGGGAGGGGAAGGAAAGGAGAGAAGGAGGGAGGGAGGGATGGAAGGAGGGGAAAGAAAGGAGAGAGGGAGGGAGGGGAAGGAGAGGAGGGAGGGAGGGAGGGAGGGAGGAAGGAATGGAGGGAGGGAGGGAGGGAGGGGAAGGAAAGGAGAGAAGGAGGGAGGGAGGGATGGAAGGAGGGGAAAGAAAGGAGAGAGGGAGGGAGGGGAAGGAGAGGAGGGAGGGAGGGAGGGAGGGAGGGAGGAAGGAATGGAGGGAGGGAGGGAGGGAGGGGAAGGAAAGGAGGGAGGGAGGAGAAGGAAAGGAGAGAAGGAGGGAGGGAGGGAGGGACGGAAGGAGGGGAAAGAAAGGAGAGAGGGAGGGAGGGAGGGAGGGAGGGAGGGAGGAAGGAAGGAAGGAAGGAAGGAAGGAAGGAAGGAAGGAAGGAAGGAAGGAAGGAAGGAAGGAAGGAAGGAAAAATCCCCAAGTCCAGCAAGATTTTCTTCGGCTTTTGGCTGGATTTCTGAAACCATTTAGAGCAACATGTAAAAAGCCTTCTGCTCCAGTCTCTCCTCCAGAAGTCCTTCTTGGGGCTATCACAAGAGGTCATCGGAACAGCCAGGCAGGGAGTGGGAGGTCGATCTGCCAGTAGGTAGAGGTACATGATGGCCAGCCTGCCTCTCCCCCTGCAGCTCAGCAAGTGCGAGAGGCAGCCAGCAAGAAATTCCAGCCAGACTGCAAATTTTCCTGGTTCTGTGTGACCGTCCTAAGCCTTCTGCTGCTCCTCCTCCTGGCCTTGCTTGTAGGCATCCTAGTCACCTACCGTAAGTTTGGGAATGAGGGGTGGGGTTTTGGAGGGGCATTCCTGCAATTTAAGCCCATTCTGGGCCAATACGGGCTTGCTTTGGGGGGAAGCCGGTGGTGGCCACCACGATGTCTCCCTGAAGCTGTGTGGGTAACAAAGGCAGGGCATCTGGGCTGGGTCTGCCCTTTGCTCCTTTCCTGCTACCTAGACCCCAAAGGCCTTGCACTTTAATTCTAGGACGTCAACACTCTTGAACACACAGAGGAATTTATTTTCAGGCCCAAATAGGCTGGAAAAGCCAGTTCTCTCCAAGTCAGCAGCTACATGGGCAGATGTCCATCAGATCTTCTAGTGGACCTTGGTCTTGAAGAGCCATCCTTTCTTCCTCCACCCCGTGTGGATGCAGCTCTAAGCCAGTGTTCCTTGAAGACGGGTGGAATTGAAGTCCACCCGTCTTCAAGCTGCCAAGGTTGAAGAACATTGCCCTGAGCAATGGATCTGTTGGCTTCCCATGAGCAAACGACAACTCCTTTTTCCATTATTAGCCAACCCAGCTGAAGTGGGTGGGAGCCGAACTGGGAGAACGGGACTGGGAATGGGAAGATGACTGGGTGAATGGGACTGCCCCACTCCCTTCTCGCCTAAACTCCTGTCTCCCAGCAGGCAAGGATCCTGTTTGCAGGTGGTGGGGTATAAAATAGGGGTTGTGGTAAAGGGTGGATTTCTTGGCAGGTTCATGACTCAGAGTGATTAATTCTCTCCAAAAGCTTAAGTCTCAGGTATTAGTCCTTGTTCTTTAATTTTGTTATTTTTTAAAAAGGCACATTTTGACTTTCAGGAGTCTTGTTGTAGACGAACCAGGCTGAAAAAGGTGGGGGGGGGGGAAGAACTGAGGAATGCAGCTGTCGAGACCAAATTTGTCTTAATGTTGCTGTCTTTATTCTTTTCCTCAACAATTTCTCTCTTGCTTTTTTTCTTCCCTTGGAGGCAGAGCTCAAGTCCTCTCCTCCAAGTAAGCCCACTCTTGAGACTTTCCTTGGGCACAACGTCGCCAATGCTACCTTCTCCTCAGTCAGGGGGGCTTCTGGGGACCCTGCCTCCACCATTTCCCCATCCCAACCAGAGCTGCAGAGAACCACAAAACCAGGAGTCCGTGAGTACTGGTTGCTGCTGAGGCTGTTTCTCTCACCTGGTTTCTCTGACCTGGGGGTTGTGATTGTGGTGCTCCAAGCCAGACCCCGGGCCACATAGAGGCCAGCTGCCGTTTGAGAGCTGACAACGAAAAACAGACTTTCTCCAACTAACAAAGACTTGACTTCATTGGATGAATAGCCTAGAGAGTAATATATAGAACACTTATTCCATTCTTATGAATCAGTGTATTTTAAAATGTAGCCTATAGCTTATATATAATTTCTTGAATTCCTCAAACCTTACAAGATGGACTACACATTACCATCACATATGTACCATAGTATTATGTGCTCCTTCTACATAATTTTATTACTGTTATCCATGTGTTATATGCCAGTGGTGCTCAACCTTTTCTCTACCATGGACCCCCTTTAAATACCCTTTGTGGCCACGGACCATGACCATGGATCCCCCAAGACTACTTAACTCAAGATTTAAATAATAAAATTTCTTCATACTTTCATGGACCCCGTGATGATATTGCGGGGGCCCCCGGCATCCATGGATCATAGGTTGACACCCCCTGCTCTATGCCATGCACTAAATAAGCTCACAACACACTATGAGCTTAATCAATCAATCCATCAATCTGATGTGGTGTCCTCTGAATGGTGTCTACTCACCATCATTCCTACCCAGCCTGGCCAATGCTAGAAACTGCAGTCCAATATTTGGAGAACATCATGAAAGTATTTACCTTGGCTGACTCTAGGCTGTGTCCTCACGGTGCCTTTCTTTGTAAACTTCCCAACCATGTTCACAACACACACTGAGCTTTGTTTTTTTGTTTTGTTTTTTTGTTTTTTGCAAAACGTGTGTTTGACTTGTCCTCACTAGCCGGGCTGGTGGAGGATGAAGGCTGTGCCTTCACATCTCTGAAAGAGATGAGGTTATGAAGATGTTCCTTGCCTGGTCTTCTTCAGTTGAGTCTAACCAAGCTGCTGCTCTAACTTAAGATGTGCTTCTCTAAATGGTTGTTTCATTCTCCACCTTCTTCTTTTGTAGTGTGTGGAGGTGAACTTGGAGGCGCCAAGGGCACCTTCAGCTCTCCCAACTATCCCGATCCATACCCACCTAACATCCTCTGCCACTGGCACATCCAAGTGAAGATGGGGATGGTGATTCAGCTGAAAATAGAAAGTCTGGATGTGGAAGCCTCGGACTTCTGCTTCTATAATCGGCTGGAGATCTACGAGGAACCAGATAGTCTCTCCCTTTGGGATGGGCGTACTAGGTAAGTAGCATGCCTCCAAGAGGAGAAGGCCTGGACCTCTCTGTGTGTCTATATGTGTTTAGCTGCTACTGTGGGTCAACCAGATGGGTTGGAGGCCTGAATCTCTCTGTGTATCCATGTGCGTTTAGCTACTATCTGGGGCCCTTCAAATGGGTTGGACTTTAGCTTCCTAGATCCTCCATTCAAATGATTGAAACATCAAGCCAACATCCAGAAACCATCTGCATTTTAAGGGCTTCACTGTTGAACTGGATAAGAGCAATGCAAAAAAACAGATCCAGTAACCAAATAGGACAAACGCTAAGGAAGATTGTTTATTCTTGCTGATAGGCCCTCTGGTGGTGAGAATTGTAAATGCTGGGTTACTTATTCATTGATTTGTACATTCGTTTTATTTTTATACCGTCCAATCCACTAAGAGCCAATCAAATCCTCCAAGATTAATAAGGAACGAGCAGGAGGCAATTAACCTCCATGCTCGTTGTCTCAAATGGGATGTCCTAATCTTTCAAATGTCATTACTTTTCTGCATTTTGCTTTTGAACCTTATAAATCCCCTTGGAAGGATAGTTTTTAATTGGTAATAAAAAAAAAACCTCACCTCTCCTTAATTTCTCTTGTTTACAAGCACATTGACATGAAAAATAATCCAATGCATCGTTTTGCCCACTTTGGTGTTGTCTTCTTCAGTCCTAAAATCTAACTACGTTCCACAACGGAGAATACCTGACGGAGGGGGTGGTCAGGCCTGAAAGAATCAAAGGAAAAGTAGAAGTCAAGCCACTAAGTGCAATCACAACAGTGCTTGTGATCTTTTTCAGTTTTGTTGTGCAGATCTGTGTGGTTTGTAAATATGAGGACTGGTCGTTGTGAAGTTATTTTTTCAATATTATCACAACTGTGAACGGTCACTAAGTGAGAACTACTTGCAGATATCTTTCCAGGGGGAAGGAGGGAGTCCACCACTCCTTGCTCCCTTGCTCACCTGGTGACTTTTACAGGTACTGTGGCACGGTAGCCCCAGCGACGATCAACACCAACTCTAACCAGATTAAAGTTGATTTTGTGTCCAATGATAATATTGCTCCTTCGGGGTTCACAGCCAGCTACCGGGCCATCCTCCCCAGTGAAAGTAAGTGCTGGCTGTTTCTTGAATAGGGATGAATTTGAGGCTGGTGGAAACTTGCTTGGGGGAGGAAAAAGTTGGGGAAGTTTTTTTTTTTTAACATGATATCCTGATTTTCTCTCCCTGAAGTAATGGGAATGACTTTGAAGAGACTGAAACCATGCAACTTCCAATGACATTTTGAAGAAAAAAAACAGCCACTGACCAGGTAGAACAAGGGTGTCAAACTGCCAGCCCTTGGGCTGGATGCATCACACCAAAACCGTGCCCATCCCATTACCGGCAATGGGGGAAAAGTCGCAATACGTTGCGACACGTCACATGATGTTGCGAGTTTGACATCCTTGAGGTAGAACAGTGTTTCCCAAACTTGACAATTTTAAGGCATGTGGACTTCAACTCCCAGAATTCCACAGCCAGCATTGCTGGCTGTGGAATTCTGGGAGTTGAAGTCCACATGCCTTAAAATTGTCAAGTTTGGGAAACACTGAGGTAGAAGAAGACAATATTTAAATCCATAAGTGCAGTAAAAGAGCCCAATATGACCAGGGAAAGGGTTAGAGCTGATCTCTCTGCTAGTCAAATAGGAAAAAAATGGAAGACGTGTTTTATATACGGTTGCTGTCTCAGTTAAGGGGTCCCCAACTTTGGCAACTTGGCTGGCTGAGGAATTCTGGGAGTGGAAGTCCATAAGTCTTAAAGTTGCCAAGGTTGGAGGCCCCTGCTTTAAAGTGTGGAGAAGTGAAGATATAAAGCAGGTCTCCAAAGATGACCCCAAATATATTTTGATCTTCTTGAGATGTCCTCTGATGTCCAGCTATATAGCACCCTGACCCCAAACAGCTTAGCATCAGCTTTTAAAAGAGATGTAGACTGTTGAGTATCAAATGCAACATAGTTGGGGATGGAGATTGGAGAAGAAGACCCGGGCCCAGAATACAGCCCTCTTTCCAGATATCAGCTGCCCAAGGGAAGACTGATTTATCTCAAAACAAAGACAATGGTTGTCCCTTTTCCCAAATGGGAAAACGGCCCTAACATTCACAATTAGCCCAGCACTAATTTATTGCTCACAGTCACATGGATGCATTGGCTAATTTTATCCTCAGAACATGGGAAATTTCTAAATTGGTGAGGGGAAACAAAAGACAGCTTGCATGGCAGTTTTTAAGCTGGCTTAAAATCTTTTGACATTAGGTAAAATAAAGAATGAGTGTTACATGACTATCACGAGTCAAGCAACTACAGGATTAGTACTTTTCTTTCTCCATGTCCTCCTCCTCCTTCTCCCCTTTTCTCCTTGCTGTTTCTCCTTCATACTCTTGCAAAGCTACATTTCCCAAAGTATCTTGAAGAAGAAGGGAGCCAAGTCAATTACAACCATTTCCAAGATAGGCTGGATTTGATCTAAACCTTTAACTCCTTGACTTCCAGAGGCCTATATTTATTCCAGAGAACTGCTCCTGGGATGAATTCTTGTGTGACCAGGGACTTTGCCTCCTTCCAGCTTTTGTGTGTGACGATCACCAGGACTGCAAGGACAATCGAGATGAAGCCAATTGTAGCGCCAAGCATACAGGTATGGTACCCACATGGGCAGGAAACATTGCGGTGAATCTGCCTCACATTAGGAGGAGAAGAGAGGAAATTGGAAAAATAAAGGAACTGCAGGCCATTGCAGATATAACCAGCAATATAAATCCATGATGATATATGATGTTGGTTGTCTCTTTCCAGGTTGTGGTGGGACCTTGACCAGCCTGGAGGGACAGTTCTTCTCCCCAAACTACCCCAAACCATACCCACATCTGCAGGTGCGGAAAGACTTTTGGGGGGAGGGCAAGCTTGGGCCTTGGAAACCCATTTTGCCCCAGAAGTCCCACCTTCCAGCTCTATCACTCAGCAATAAGTTGCCCACCCAGCCTCCCTTTCTGGAGAAGGATGGACTTTCAGGATTGGACTTGGCTCTGCCAGAGAGAGATGATGGATAGATAGATAGATAGATAGATAGATAGATAGATAGATAGATAGATAGATAGATAGATAGATAGATAGATAGATAGATATGGATGGGTGGATGGATGCATGGGTGGGTAGACAGACAGACAGACAGATATGGGTGGATGGGTGGGTAGGTGGGTGGAGGGACGGACAGACAGACAGACAGATACAGTAGATAGAAATTTTGAGCCTGAGAAATTTTGACTTGGAAATTTAAACCTTGGTTGTTTAAAAAAATGGGCCTCATACTGTGATGTAGTCTGAATAGGGAAAAAAAAACCCAGCCCCATACCCAAGATTCTGTGGTCAAAAAACCCAAACCCTTCTGTCCCGACTCTCTTTTGGATTACTTCTTCATGGTCACGTCGATGAAGATTCAAACTCAAAAAAGACAAGAGGTCCAGTTCCCCTGGCTTCCGGTCTTGGTGTTGATGCCCCTCTTCCTCCATCCAATGACACGTGCATGTTCAAAGAAACTCAGGGGGCTGCTAGGAGAAAAGGTTTGGGACCTTCTTCCAGATTTTTACCACCACCACCACCCTTGTAACACCACTCTGTCTTAGCATGGAGCCCCCCATCCTGCCTCTCTCCGCTCATCTCCCGGACTTTTCTTCTCTTCCAGATCTGTCTCTGGCACATCTCCGTGCCCGTGGGCCATGTGATCCAGCTGCAATTCTACAACTTCAGCCTCGAGTCCCACGAAGATTGCAATTTCGACTTTGTGGAGGTGTACGACAGTGCTGCCATGAGGACCAGCAGCCTCATGGGTCGGTGAGTAAGTCATCTTGCACACTCACCCACCCCTTTGTGTTCCTTGTGGAACAATCCAGGTGGACACACTCATTTTGGCTCCAGGTTCCTGGTTGCATTGACCCGCCTCACATTTCCAGGACTAAGTTCAACCTTCCTGCTCCCTGCAGGTTCTGCAACTCCAATATGCCTCCTGTGTTGACTTCATCCCATCACGTCATGACCGTCCTGTTCGTGGCTGATGAGGAGATTGGGGATGATGGGTTCTTTGCTATGTACCGGGCCCACAACCTGAGTGAAAGTAGGTAATGGGGGAATCTGCTGAGGCTAAAGGATGCAGTTAGTTATCTGCTTGCACCTTACCCCAAATAAGTAGGGTAGATCTGACCTGGAATTGGAAGCTAAGCAGGGTTAGTGATTGGATAGGTAAGCTGTCCTGGGAAATAAACCAAACAAAAACAAAATGCAGAAAGAAGAGAAGAGGATATTTGTAGCTCAGGGTGGAACTGTGGGGTCCTTGGCGCTCTCTGAACGTGGTGGTTTTCTTGCAGACATTTCTTTACCCAACTATGTGACAGTAGTAGTATACTGATGATGTTCCCTAGTAGAGTAATGAAACATCTGCAAGAAAACCACTAAGCTCAGAGAGCTCCAAGGACTCCACAGCCCTCCTCCTCCTCCTCCCCCCACCACCACAAACCCCACTCCATTCTAACCCTGATGACAAATCTTAGACAGCAACAAGGACCCTCCAGAAAGAACAGCCAACCACTTCTTCCTTGACTCAAGGACTCCCACACTTTCTAACTGCGTTTTTAAAAAATGTCCATGGCTGGATCTTTCCCTCTGTGCTGAGGGTTTTCCCATCAAGAGAGGGGACTCAGCCAAGGGACATAAATTATTCAGGTGACCCAGTCAAGCAGGGAAAGGTTGAACGCGATCCAAGTCTCATGAGGAGCATTGTGGTTGCTTGTTCACAAGCCCTGTTCTTTCTGAGATGGAACACAGTTCTGGTTTCTTGATTCCTGTAATTATTGTTCCATTTTCCCAGGCAAATTAAAAAGGCCTTCTGAGCAGGGAGAAACTCCTCCCCACCCACAAGATGAGTGGGGTTGTGTTTATATAAGCAGAAAGAGTATGCATCCATTACACAATTGGATAGAAAGACAGACAGACAAACCAGTGTTTCTCAACCTTGGCAACTGTTAAGATGTGTGAACTCCAATTGCCAGCCTTGTTCCCAGAGGAATTCTGGGAGTTGGAGTCCACCCCTCTTAAAGTGGCCAACGTTAAGAAGCACTGCTGTTGACCGATGATGGATGGATGGATGCATGAAGGGAGGGAAGGAGGGAGGGATGAGTGAGTGGATGGAGGGATTGATGAATGAGTAGATGGATAGTTGGATGGATGGATGGGTCGGTGGGTTGATGGGTGGATGGATGGATAGGTGGATGGATAGATGCAAGGGTGGATAGATAATGGTGCAAATTCTTGATACAGATGTTGCCTAATCTCAAAAGCAAAAAAAGTCATCTCCAATTTTCAGCAGGCTTATGCATTGATATCAGCATGTTATCTACCTTGCTTTAACAAAGGTCATCACCCCACCATCCCTTCAGCGATATAAAGCCTCTATGATAAATTACCAAAGGGGTTGCTGAACAACACAATAAAATGGTACAAATCTCTAACAAGGGCATAGCCTAAATTGGTGTCTTCCCTGGCATTCTCTTGAAGGCATGATGCACTTCCTTCCATTCCTTTCTCCTTTTTTTAAGCAATGCGTAAGTGGATATCCTGTATCAACTACTGTATTAACCTAAGTGTTGGCCAGAAAGTCACAGCAGAAGTATTAAAGGTGCCGGCCACATGGGCAGGTGATCTAATCGGACAAAATGTTCATTCTTCTGTAAACTGTGGCCTAGAATGCAGCTTTGAAAGATACAAACATTAATTTTTAACTTTCATGCATGGCCACTAGACTTGCAGTTCAGGTTCTCAACAGTTAATAAATCACTGCTGCAGGCAGCCACCTCTGCAGGACCTCAGCTGAGATTAAGGAGGCGGCAGTGTGGCGTCAATGAATCCATGACTTCAAATCGGTGAATCTAAGTGGAGAACAAACACTTGTGAAGGGTTTCCTGGCTGTGCTGGAGCCAACAGCTTATGCTAAGGCCGAGCTTTGTGCCTGTCCTATTTGCAGTGCATTTTTCTAGATGCTCTGATTTTTTTTTTTTTAACTGAAGAATTGAGGTGGCTATTTTCAAGCAAGGCACAAGAATAATCTGGATTTGTTCTGGGAATCTCTGGCTTCAAAGAGAAAGGCCAGAAAGGCAATGTGGGCAGACATCTTCACCATCTTAAGCAATGCTCCCCAACCTTGGCAGCTTAAAGATGGGTGGACTCCCAGGATTCCCCAGCTAGCCTTGAATTCTGGGAGTTGAAATCCACTCATCTTCAAGCTGCTAAGGTTGAGAAATACTGATCTTAAAAGTCCAGGGAATTCTTTTCTCTAAATTCTTTTCTCTTTTTACCTGCCCATCGTCCCGTGCAAGAAACATGTGGACCTCTAGAATTTGTCTGTGGAAATGGCGAGTGTGTGGCCCAAGAATTCGTGTGTGACAGCTGGAGGAACTGTCCAGATGGAAGTGACGAAGTCAACTGTACCAGCATTTCTTCCGCATCAGTGGGTGAGTAATGTCCTCTTACGTGGACCAAGCTGTCTGGCCAATTTGCAGAATTACGCATTGCAATGTCCGCAGTTCAGGCCTCACCTGTGACCTCACCCCAACATCCTAGGTGGGTCAATTACACTCTCTCCCCCACCCAGCCCACCATCCTCCTTTTTCTCCTGGCCTTCAGCTGGCTGGTCCCAAGATATTGAGCAGAACCGAGTTGCCGGGGGCTGGTCTTAGTCATGTTATCTGGAGCGAGTTTGAGCCTGTGACTCCTGATGAAGTGGACAAGGCCGTGAGGGCAATGAATGCCGCCACCTGTTTATTGGACCCGTGCCCCTCCTGGCTGGTTTCTGCCAGTAGGGAGGTGACACAAGGCTGGTTCCAGGCGATAATCAACGCCTCCTTGATGGAGGGGTTTTTCCCGCAATCTTTAAAGGAAGCGGTGGTGAGGCCCCTCCTCAAGAAGCCTACCCTGGACCCAGCTGTTTTGAAGAACTTTCGTCCTGTCTCCAACCTCCCCTTTGTGGGGAAGGTTGTAGAGAAGGTGGTGGCATCCCAACTCTTGTGATCCTTGGATGAAACTAATTATCTGGACCCTTTTCAATCTGGTTTCAGGCCCGGCTATAGCACTGAGACTGCTTTGGTCGCACTGACCGATGACCTCTGGCGAGCCTGGGATAGGGGTTATTCCTCTATCCTGGTGCTTCTTGACCTCTCAACGGCTTTCGATACCATCGGCCATGGTATCCTTCTGCGTCGTCTCGGAGAGGTGGGGGTGAGCGGCACCTTATTGCGGTGGTTCTCCTCCTACCTCTCTGACAGGTTGCAGTCGGTGTTGGCGGGCGGACAGAGATCGACCCCTAGGCGCCTCGATCATGGGGTGTCTCAGGGCTCGATCCTGTCCCCCCTCCTTTTTAACATCTACATGAAACCGCTGGGTGAGATCATTCGGCGACACGGGGGGAGGTATCATCAGTACGCGGATGATACCCAATTGTATATCTCCACCCCGTGTCCTTTCAGTGAAGCAGTCGATGTAATGTGCCGGTGCCTGGAAGATGTGAGGGTCTGATGGGGGTGAACAGGCTTAGACTCAACCCTGACAAGACCGAGTGGCTCTGGGTCTTGCCTCCCAAAGGTCAACTTGATGGTCCATCATTAGTCCTGGGGGGGGGGTAAATTTACCTCCCTCAGTGCAGGCACGCAACTTGGGTGTCCTCCTGGACTCACAGCTAAATTTGGAACAACATCTATCGGCTGTGGCCAGGGGGACCTTTGCCCAGGTTCGCCTGGTGCACCAGTTGCGGCCTTATTTGGACCGGGAGGCTTTACTCACGGTCACTCATGCCCTTGTCACCTCAAGACTGGATTACTGTAACGCGCTCTACATGGGGCTACCCTTGAAGAGTGTTCGGAGGCTGCAGTTGGTTCAGAATGCAGCCGTGAGAGCGATTGTGGGCGCTCCAAGGTACGCCCACATGTCACCTATCCTCCGCGAGCTGCACTGGCTTCCTGTGGGTCTCCGGGTGCAATTCAAGGTGTTGGTTATCACCTTTAAAGCCCTTCATGGCTTAGGACCAGGTTACTTACAGGACTGCATACTGCCGCACAGTTCCCAGAGACCGGTGAGGTCCCACAGATTGGGCCTCCTTCAGGTCCCGTCGGCCAGACAATGTCGGCTGGCGGGCCCTCGGGGAAGGGCCTTTTCTGTGGTGGCTCTGACGTGGTGGAATCAACTTCCCCCCGAGATTCGAACTACTCCCACCCTGCCGGCCTTTAAGAAAGCCATTAAAACTCTCCTGTTCCGGCAGACCTGGGGCTGATGTCCCCGGGGGGGGGGGGGCGGGATATGATCGGACACGCTGTATGAATGTATTTATTTTATTGTTTTATTGTCATATTATTGTTTTAAATAATATGAGTCCCTTGGGATTGGGCGGCATATAAATTTTAGAAATAAATAAATAAATAAATATAAATAGACCTAAAAACCAACCTGAGACACCAACAGGAGATCCAACATGTGAATTCTGGAGAACAACCTGGCTCCATTTTTCACAAATGTTCATTTTCAAAGCAAGTAGTCTTCTTCCCCCGAAAGCAGAGGGCAACTTAACGCTGTACAATTGTATTTTGGTTACTCTCTGAGATGTTGTCTTCTCTCCCACTAGTAGCAGAGGCCTCCTGTGAACCTATCAAGATAGAAATGTGCCAAGGTCTCAGCTACAATTCCACCTCCTTCCCCAACATCTGGCTGATGATTCCCCATCAGCAGAGTGCTGAGGTGCTGCTTCAAGACTACATGGTGAGGCCAAGGGCAGACTCGGGCTGGCAGGAAGGTTGAGAGAGGGGGAAAGGGGTTCACCCTTGGGGAGAGACTCACGATCTCCACAGAGCGGGTGTCACATGGAGAGCAAATTCCAAACTTTCATCCCTATCAACACATGGACAATTTAAGTTGGGCTCAGTGGATGACTTCTAGGAAATCTAACAAAGGACTCTCTTCATTAGTGAATTGTGTGATTGTGTCGGTCCCTCCAGCTGGTGCCGTGCGTAGAAGCTCAGACCCACAACAAAGGAATTCCTAAATTCCAGCCCCTGACAGAGCTCACCCTCCTCATTTTCAGGTGCTGCGGGACCTCAGGTGCTACCCTCACCTGCGCTTGCTAATCTGCAGCCTCTTCGTCCCGAAGTGCATCCCAGATGGGGGCACCTTGCAGCCCTGTCGATCCGTGTGTCTGGGGGCAGAGGAGCACTGCCAGAAGCCCCTGGCCCGCTTGGAAATCCTCTGGCCCTTGGACTGCAACATCCTGCCTGACTCCACCAACCCTCTGGAGTGCTTCTTGCCTTGAGGGCCCCCACCCTCCCACCCACCCAGTGCCCAGCCCAGAAGGAGGGAGGGAGGGGGGGCTGTTGGAGGCAGCCAAGAGACGTCCCAGTCCAGGAGACCTTTTGATCTGTTCATCTCACAGCAAATTTTTATGGGTTTGCTCCCCAAAGTATCTCCAGGGAGTTGCTCCTGAAGTCCTCTGCATTGACTCTCCTTCTTGACTCCACTTCTGCCTCTATCACAGTGGTTCTCAATCTGTGGGTCGGGACCCCATTTGGGGTCGAACGACCATTTCACGGGGGTCACCAAACTAACAGAACGTCCTAACCGTGCTTCGTGAAAGCCAGGAAACAAGAACGTTGCAATATTCAACAAGCTTTATTCACTATGTTGAAACTAAGTTAGCACTGGAACGAAGCTCCATTCATTGCCCTAAATACATTCCTCCACCACACCCAGAGTACACACCCCAATTGACGGTTAATTGGTCATCTGGAATCCACCTGTTCCCCTCCCCATACCTGCCTCGTGATAGTCCTCCACCCTACCTACGCCCCGATCCAGCTAGTACTTATGTTCGAACTTTACATTGAGTCCATGCGTTCCATTCACGCCATTCTCATCCCTAATGTCCCACTCAACCTTTTCCTATAATACCCCCTCCCGGTATCCAAGTGTTGTCAGACCCAGCGTCCCAGTTCCCATCATTCACAGAGTCACGGTTCCAGCAACATAAGCCATAACAGTTTTAACAGCAGTCGGCTTCTCCATATTCCATTTCTATGTAGCCTCCGTCCAGTTATGTGCTGTCAGCCATTTTTTTCCCCTTTTCTTTGGCCACACCCCTGGCACCCGGTGATGTATAAGTGGTTGGGGGTCACCACAACATGGGGAACTGTATTATGGGGTCGCGGCATTAGAAAGGTTGAGAACCACTGCTCTATTAAATGATAGGTTGAAGTGAATCCAGGATCTCTCTGTCCGAGAATCCTAGATCATAAAGTTGGAAGGGATCTAACTTCCACTAAGTCATCTCTGACAGATAACCCTCCGACTTCCCGACAGTTCACGGGCCAGCCTTTTCCATTAGCCAATGGCTGTGCAGTCGGACAATCTCTCTCAACTCCCACTGATTTTGCAGGAATAGCTGTGATGTCTTATTGGCAAAACCAAAAATCTTCTGGGAGGTTTTTCACCTTCCCAGCCTCGCATGAAGTAAGATGCCCAACGACGGACTGACCCTGCTTAGCTCTTTTCAAGATCGGTCCGCAGCAGCCAGGCAGCCTCCCTCTGAAGAGGCTTCCACTTCAATTACGCTTTATAAACTCATTTAAAGTTAATAATAATAATAAAAAAGTAATTATAACATCATAGAAGCTGTGACATTTTCTGGCATCATGAAAGCGGATCCTTTTAAAAACTGGCTTGTGATTTCACACACATTTCAATTTCAGGTCTCTCTCTTGAGACTCTCTGAACCAAAAGCGTTTCCAAATTTTCTTTTGAGAAAAGGGGAATCTGACTTCACCTATGCAGTCCCTCTCTGTAGGACTGAACCCAGAGGAGCCAAATTTGCCTCCTTTTGAATTTTTTTTTTTTTCTGTTTCTTGTGTCGAGCAAGGGGTCAGAAAACGGGGGGGTGGACCTGGACTCCTTTCTGGTCAACAGCGGTGCTTGAACTGCCTTGCCCATCTGATGTCTCTCCATGGACCTCAGCAGAAGAACACACCCATCTGGGAAACACACAGAGACACACACTCAACAGCAGGGAGGAATTTCATGGAGACAGCTGGCAACAGCAACGTCTGCAATGGTTAGGGAGTGACCTCATCCAGATGTTGCTATCACAGCTGAAAAACACCCAGAACGTCTCTTGATTGCCACATGCAGCAATAAAAAAATACAACCAAGCGGTCGTGGCTGCTGATAGTGGAACAGGCACGTGTGATATATGTGGCACACACGTGACACCGCGTGATCTATGTGTCAGCCAGCAAGGGGCATAGATTTTATTTCTTGGCTTAAGGGGAGAAAAGGTACAGATATCCCTCACTGGGGGCAAGGTCAAATGAATGACTTCTAGGTGTCCTGCAAGAGGATGGGAGCAACATCCAAGCAGCACATTACGGGCTAACCGAGCTATGAAGCCTGAGCAGGTCCAGTGTCTGTGGCCTGCCAGTTGCCTGGAGGTGGGGAATAAACCCCCCTGGGAATGGGAAGGAGGGGCTGACAGGATCCCCTCTCCTCTGCAACATTTCATGTCAATGCCACCATTTATTTATTTATTTATGAGACTTATATACCGCTTTAAGTGCAAGCACTCTCTAAGCGGTGTACACCAGTAAGCAATGTATATATATATTTACATTGCCCCCAACAATCTGGGTCCTCATTTTACCTACCCCGGAAGGATGGAAGGCTGAGTCAACCTTGAGCCGGTGAGATTTGAACCGCTGACCTGCTGAACACAGTCAGCTAAAGTGGCCTGCAGTACTGCACTCTAACTGCTGCGCCACCTCGGCTCATCATTTCAGTTCCTCCAAGGCTGAACGTCAGACATTGATGATTGGCAGACAAAGGGGGGCATGGGAAAAAATGGAAGGGGCAGCTATGCTGCAGAAGCACCCAGGTTTGGTTGCCACATTACAAAAAAGATGTTGAGACTTTGGAAAAAAAAGTGCAAAGAAGAGCAACTGAGATGATCCAAGGCCTGGAGACTATATGAAGAACGGCTGCAGGGCTTGGGTTTGGCTAGTCTAGAGAAAAAAAGGACTAGAGGTGACAGGATAGCAGTGTTCCAGTATTTGAGGGGCTGCCACAAAGAAGAGGGGGTCAATTTATTTTCCAAAGCACCAGAAGGCAGGACAAGAAACAACGGATGGAAACTTATCAAGGAAAGAAGCAACCTGGAATTAAGGAGAAACTTCCTAACAGGGAGGACAATCAACAGCTTGCCTTCAGAAATTGTGGGTGCTTCATCACTGGAGAGTTTTAAGAAAAGACCGGACAGCGATGTCTGAAATAGTAAGGGTCTCCTACTCGAGCAGGGGGTTGGACTAGAAGACCTCCAAGGTCCCTTCCAACTCTGTTCTGATTGATTGATCTTAACTCATTGATTGCAAGCAGGTATGCATGCACTTACGCACATTTTCACACCCAAGCCAAAAATCTCTCTTGACAACCTACGTTCAGCAGTTTGCAAGGCTTCATTCCTTGCTTCTGTTCAGCGGGAGGCCGTTCGGTGCTAGACTCCCTGGTTGCAGACAGAAATCTGTGTGTGTTTATGCTGGGACCCCACCCTGCTTGGGCTCACAGCCAGGAAAAGCTTCCCGTTATTTTTCTATGCACGTTGACAAGCTTCTTGTGTTCGCTCCGTAAGCAAAAGGCCCTCTTCCCATGCTCCGTGGCGGTGATCTCACAGCTGATGCCCAGAAAAGCAGACACCCTTCTGTGTAAACTCCAGCACACCTCAGCTGTCTGGGCACGCTACAACAGGGTTGTGTTGTTTGTGGCTGAGCTTGTGGTTAAAATCCTGCTGTGATTGTAGCATGTTCTATGACCAGGGCATGACACAAAACATGAAGACGGTTGATTTAGGGCAATGCATGGGATAGGAAACTCTGCCACTGTGTTTTCTCAACAAGGGACACAGTATTAGGTAACTCCAGCCCTTTGTGGGATCTCCGCAGGGGTAATAGCCCATCACAAACAGGACAAAGTTGATTTGGAAGGGCAAGCACCCCTAAGGGACCCCGTGTTTCACCCCTTTCCTTGACATCCTCAACCCTGTATTTCAATGTTTCTCAACCTTGGTCACTTTAAGACCTGTGGACTTCAACTCAAACGTCAAAGCTGGCTGGGGAATTCTGGGAGTTGAAGTCCACAGGTCTTAAAGTGACCGTGGTTGAGAAACACAGATTTTCATTAAAGGTTTCCCTTTGTCCATGACTTTTTCCCATATCCTTGACCCCCTCCCCCCCTTACTCCTTTCTCTTCTCCTTCTGACCTATCCCAGGGACATCCAGCTGGGGTGCCTATCCACCCCACACACACAAACACACACACCCGCCCAGCCTCCCGGCTGCGCCACTCAAACCCCCATCCATTCCTTCCTTGGCAATGTAGCTTTTGGCAAAGTCTCTCGTTTCCTTTGCAAGTTTGGGAGGAGAGACCAAGAGAGAGGAGGGAGCCGGGGTGGGGGGAAGGCCGGCCGGTGGAGCTCACTAGAGGCCCTCAAGCAGCCAGCTGGCCGGTCGGAAAGTCTGTTCCTCCCGGGAGAAGCAAGGAGAGAAAAACCCCAAAGGGAAACCAGGTAAGGGGGAATCTGTCCCCAAATCTGTGCATGTACAAAGAGGACCCCCGACACTGCTGGGGCTGGAGGTCCCTTTTCCTCTTGGGGGGGCTGCAGGAGGCCACCTTTCCCAGTTGGGGTTTTCTGGAGGTGTGGACTGCAGAGCCTATCATTCCCAGCTAGGCTGATCAGGAAAGATGGGAGCCTAGCTCAGCACAAGGCTGGTTTGGATTTTGCTGAGGCTGCATTGCTTCGGATAAGAGGGTCTTCTGGCAGGGGTGGGCAGGGGTCCCGGTCTTGTACACTCCCCCCCCACCTGAAAAAGGAGAAAGTTTGCTGATTGGTTTGCTGATCACAATGCATCTTGGAAGGGGATTAAGCAAGGAAAGTGAATGCAGGAGAAAAGGGGCTTCTGGCGTTTACTTTGTCCTTAAGTATGACTCCTCCAGGACCCTCTTCTCTCCCCCCCCCATATAAGAGATTCATATCTTACCCATTCTGGCCTTTCTTTCATCGGTTCCTTTATCTGCAGAACTTAAGGGCACCGCTTGATTTTTCCCCAATTTTTTTTAGCATTCTCACCTCCCTGCCAGGTAGGACTTGGGCAAGAGAGACTAAAGTAGACAGACCAAGAATGGTTGAAAGAAAACCACAGCTTCTTTCTTTCTTTCTTTCTTTCTTTCTTTTCTTTCTTTCTTTCTTTCTTTCTTTCTTTCTTTCTTTCTTTCTTTCTTTTTTTCTTTGTTTTTCTTCCTCCCTCCCTCTCTTTCTCCTTTCTTCCTTCCTTTTCTTTCCTTCCTCCCTCCCTCCCTCCCCTTCCTCCTTTCCTTTCTTCCCCCCTTCCTCTCTCTCTGTCTCTCTCTAATCTATCTATCTATCTATCTCAGCTGATTTGATTTGAATTCCATCACAGTGTTCCCCCCACCCCAGTCTTCCTCAGCTGCTATCGGGAAACACAGCCGGCTCGTCCCAGCCTGCTCCTGGCTTCTTGTGCCTTGAAACTCAGCACAGGAAATGCAGAAACATCCGAAGCGCCAGACGATGCCAAAGCTTGCAAGGAGGACATCACGTGTAGTTGGTCGGCGAAGGGGGGGGGGGAATCGAATATGCCAGGGAGCCCTGATTGGTCCTGATTGGCTGGAAGGCATTTTGGGAAGGGGGGGGTTGTGTGTCAAGGAATCCTCATTAGTTTCCTCTTCCTCTCCCATCAAACTTTTTGCAAATTTCAATGTTTGGGTTAATTTATGCCAGGAGAGGCACTGGTGGAAATCTGACCTGCCAGGAAAGCCTTTAAACTCCAATCTGGAGGAGGCGGAGATGCTCCCCTGTCCTTTTAAAGCAGTGGTTCTCAACCTTTCTAATGCCGTGACCCCATAATACAGTTCCCCATGTTGTGGTGACCCCCAAGTGGGTGTGGCCACCAATAAGAGGGAGTAGGACAGCTAGGGGAAAGGGGAAAAAAATGGCAGACAGCGTGGTTTGGCGACCCCCGTGAAATGGTCGTTCGACCCCAAATGGGGTCCCGACCCACAGGTGGAGAACCACTGCTTTAAAGGAAAAGCGGAACCCTGCTTTTCCTGATGAACTAATCAAAAACTCTCAAACACTGCCTGGTAGACAATTGATTTTTTTTTTTAACAGAAATCCATGCATTCAGACATGCAGAAACAGTGCTATTGTGCCCCCCCCCATACACACACACACTCACTCGCACTCACTTTCGCACACACAAACTTGTAACACATGCACACACACAAAACATACACAGGACACAAACCTGGCACCTGGATGTTAAACAATGCCCCCCCTCTCCCTCCCCTCCCTCCCTCTTCCACTTTCCAATAACAGCAGCCAGGGCTAATCCTAAGATTAGGGCTTGGATGCAAAAATGACACCCCCAGACATGCCGGGCTTGATCTAAAATTCTAAATGACCTTTACGGTCGGTGTCCAGCTTTGTGATTCCTCTGATTCTTCAGGTTTCAGGAACATGGAGCGGACGCTGTCCCGCTTTCTCTTCTTCCTGGCCCTGGCCAAAGAGGCGGCTCATTTGGAAGACAACAAGATCCCCAGCTTGTGTGCAGGGCAGCCGGGTCTCCCCGGGACCCCTGGAACTCACGGCCACCAGGGTTTGCCCGGCCGGGACGGTCGTGATGGACGAGATGGGGCTGCAGGCCTGCAGGGAGAGAAGGGCGAAATTGGCCATCCAGGTAAGAAAAGGGACGGGAAATCAGTTGGCTTTTCTGCTGGGATCAAATCGTTTAAGGATTCTGGAGCAGGCTGGGCTGCATAAATTTATAAATTTGTTTGTTTTTTTCCAAATCGGGCTGTTGTCTCAGCAATGCCCAGTGCTGGGGACTCCCAATTTAAGGGTAGAAATCGGTGAGAAAAGATGTTATTCATAAGCCCCGCATCTCCTGAGGGAATGCCTCTGCACCCAAGGGCTGGGGAGAAAAAAATAAGAACAGAAATGTAATGACAGGTTTCCAATATAGGAAAGAGGTTTCAAATGAGCGCGGGACATGCATCAAATCCACATGCATAGATCCAGAAAAAAAGACGTTATGTGTGTCCCAGGCAAAGGAAGTGAAAACAAACAAAGGAAGAGAAGGACAAATGCAAATCATTAAAAAAAAAATCAATAGTGTGTAATAGGTAGATAATTGCATTGGCAAACACCACTAGGTGGAGAGGGGTCTATGCATCAGGACGGAGAGGGGGTGAATGCACAACTGAAGAACCCCCCCTTTTTTTTATAAAGAGGTGAGGCTTTAGAGAGTGGTCTTGACTTTTTTGACCCCTGTGGATGAACCTCATTTGGATAGTACAGACTCAGGTTAAATACGTGCTGCAATTGTTATTCCACCTTCATAGTCCTTCTTTCCTCCCTCCCTTCCTCTCATTTCCATCTCCCTCCATCCATCCTTCCTTCCTTCCCCTCATTTCCATCTCCTCCCTCCCTCCTTCCTTCCTTCTTTCCTTCCTTCCTTCCTCATTTCCATTTCCTTCCTTCCTTTCCTTCCTCTCATTCACATTTCCTTCCTTCCTTCTTCTCATTCCCATTTCCCTTCTTCCTTCCTTCCCCTCATTTCCATCTCCTCCCTCCCTTCCTTCCTTCCTCTCATTCCCATCTCCTTCCTTCCTTCTTTCTTTCCTTCCTTCTTCTCATTCCCATTTCCTCCCTTCCTTCCTTTCCTTCCTTCCCTCTCATTCCCATCTCCTTCCTTCCTTCCTTCCTTCCTTCCTTCCTTCCTTCCTTCCTTCCTTCCTTCTCCTACGTTTAATCCAACCTCTCAAGAGCCACATACTCCTGCTCCGTCCTCCATTCTTGCTCTCACCTTCACTCTGCTTTTACTTTTTCTCCCAAAAGGACTGACAGGCCCCCGAGGGGAGCCAGGCAGCCCTGGCACCAACGGGCTCCTGGGAGAGAAGGGGGCCCAGGGGGAGTGTGCAGTTGCACCCCGTTCGGCCTTCAGCGCCAAGCGCTCCGAGTCCCGCAGCCCCCCTCTGCCCGACGAGCCCATCGTCTTTGACATCGTCCTGATTAATGAGCAAGGCCACTACAATGGCAACACCGGCAAGTTCCTCTGCGAAATCCCGGGGCTCTACTACTTCGCCGTGCATGCCACCGTCTACCGGATGAGCCTCCAGTTTGACATCATGAAGAACGGCAAGTCGGTTGCTTCCTTCTTCCAATTTTACGGCAACTGGCCCAAGCCGACGTCCCTGTCCGGAGGCAGCCTGGTGCGGCTGGAGCCGGAGGATGAGGTCTGGGTGCAGGTGGCGGTGGGCGAGTACACCGGCTTCTACTCCAGCGTGAAAACTGACAGCATCTTCACAGGGTTCCTTGTGTACTCCTACTGGCAAAACTCCCCCGTCTTTGCTTGAGAAGCAGCCCAGGAAAAGCTGGCATCCTGACATCTCACATCATGCCCTGATTTGCATCAACAGCCCCGGGTCCCTTCCTGGCCTGCGGGTGCAACACCCTTTAGCTGACCCCATTGAGACCAGGAGATTCAGGGGGGACAGGTTTCCGTTAATTCCGGGTGCGCTGGGGCACCGCAGAGAAGCCAGCACTTTTCTCCTGCATCACCTTGATACAGATAGTCCTTGACTTACCACCAGTTGTGGGATTCAGCCAGTTTGCATCAGTTCAGTAGAACCGGTAGCTAAATTTTGCTGCATTCGGAGAACCGGCTGGTTTCCAGAAGTCCAGTCTAGGCCTCGGAGGACTGGAGGAGGCCTCCCAGGCCTAGAACAGCCCACCGGAAGTGCATGGATGCCACTTCCGGAAATCCGTTCTAGACCTGGAAAGCCCAGGCCTGCATCAAATAAGAGAACCGGTTGTTTAGATATTTGAATTCCACCACTGCTTACCACCAACATTTCCATTGCTAAGCAAAGCGGTTGTTAAGTGGCTCCATTTTACAGCCATTTGTATCACCGTTGCTTAGCAATCACCGCAGGCCTAAATGGTTCACGCAAATCGGGCTTCTCCCGTTTTACTTTGTTAGAAGCTGCCTAGCAAGGTGATCGGGTGTCCCTGGGATGCTGTGACTGTTGCACATACATGCCAGTTGTAAGTCCCTTTCTTTGGTGCCGTTGTAACCATCGCTAGGCAAATGGTTGTAAGTCGAGGGCTCTCTTGTAAAGGAAGGGAGCTCCATCCCACCTCTTTCTTCCCTGACCTCAGAAGTCCTCCGAAGGGTGGAGCTGATGCTTTCAGCCCATTCTTCGGCTTTCTCCATTAAAAGCAAAAGAGGTTTAATTTCCAAGCCCTCTTTGGCCAGGTGGCCCCTTTCTGATTTCAGAGGTTTTATGGGGAGGAGTGCAGGAACGGAAATCCTCACGACAATGATGGAAATCATGGCCACCGAACAGTGCTGTGCCATCTGAACTCCAGGGGCACAAATGGCCTTCTTAAAAAAGCTTCGGTTGTGGCCTTCTCAAAAGGTGACCGGGAGAAAAAGTATAGAAGATGTGAAATAGGTGGTGATGATGATAATGATGTGTTATCCACTCAGTTGTGTTCAACTCTTGGTAATTCGATGGGCCAAGATTCTCCACATCTTATCTGGTATTAAATATACTGAATTATGTTGCATTTCCATTTAATTGAAAACATCGATGTGAAATGAAAAAGCCAGCCAGAAGATTCTTTTCGTCTTGGCTCTTCACACGTGTTTTGGAATGTAGTCTCCAGAATGTGATTCAAAGAATTTGGCTGCTGGTCTTGACCAAGGTGCAGTCCTGCTTTAAATCAAAGCTGTATTCATAAAAGACACTTAACCAAGCCTACATGGCACCCAAGCCTTGGCTGGGCTCTGCCTATCTGTGCCTCTCTAAGTCTATTGGGCCAACTCAGTCTGGCTAGTTCACAGTTCCATGTTTTGCACTACCCCCAAAAGGGATTAATTCCCTACTCACATCAGCCACTGGGGAAGAGGGGGCCTGTTCCCACCTTCTTCTCTCAGTGGGGTCTTGCAATGACGAGAGTTGACCATTTTCCCCTCCCTCCAAGATGAAATAAGAGAAACTTATTTCAACCCTCCCCAAAGAGAGAAAGGTTAGCAAGCTCCCCAAGTCACTTTTGGTACCCAGAAGATGAACTGGTCATCATTATCTTGGGTTGGTCTGCATCTTCTGATAGCTACAAAATAAGGGCTGGTTCAGATATTAAGTCAAAGTTTGCTTCAACTTCCCTTCTCCAGAATAAATGCTGGCTGGGAATTCTGGGAATTGAAGTCCCCTTGTATTAAAGTTGCCAAGATTGAGAAACACTTGAGTGGCTATCAAACTGACTAGCCATCCCATAAGCATCCAATGCAAGCCAATACAGTATAAAATCACAGGCTTCGTGATGTCATCATCCTAACATTATGCAATCTGTCACGATGGGTCGGACACGACTTCGCAATTAACAACAACAAACTTCATGATGTCCCTTGTCTTCTCCTGCGAAAACTCAGCCTTTAGCAGCAGCCCTTGCAGAGGGTCCATCCTTGCAGTGGGTTCATCCTTGCAGTGGTCGAGTTGCAAGAGAACTTTGAAGAAAATGTGGTATATTCTAGCATAATTTGAAGAAATTGTTCAGAAGGGGGGCCCTGCCCTCATGAATTGAGGTTTGCTGTAACCGAGCATGAAAGGTTCTGTCCACTAGGGGGCACCCTGAGCTCAGAGTTGCATTTGATGGCCAAGTTTAACTTCATAATTAACCTGGTTTGTAAGTTTTGTACTCTACATTTTTTTTTCTGTGAAGAGATTTGGTCCATTTGGTTACATTTTCTCCATGCAATAAATGTTTCTGTGCATATCTTTCCCCTTCCTATCATTCTCCACTCGTCCCACCTCTCAAATTTCTTAAAATATAAAGATTTGGAGTACTTTTAACTGTCCGAAAGAAGAGGGGAGAAAGTGACAGCAACTGGTGCAACCTTTTGGCAGCTGGAGGGCGAAGGCCGTTCAATGAATTGAGTGATGTAGCAAAGTGAGCTGAACCCCCGTTTTAAAACAAAAATGGGGATCCAGAAAAACCACGTAAAATCCAAGCCATACACTTCATCGAGTCAATAGCTCCCTTTGTACTGTCAGTAAAGCTCAGATGGTGTTCACCTTGTCTAATCTCGGTTACTTCTGCACGTGTGATTTATACGCTGTGCAAAATTGGCCCCTTGGGCTGTTTTATGGTTCAAGATTTTGCACAAGTGCAGAACGCGAGTGATTCAATCGCCCCCTGAAGGGCGTGTTAGAAAAACAGCATCATCAAAGTCTCCGGCATTTTGCATGGCTGATGGTTGAGTAGTTTTGGTATGAAAATGAATTATTTCTGCGTGATGAAAGATTCTGGCTCTCTGGCCAGGTATGGAGCAGAGCAAGTGGCCTCTGAGGGTGGAGCTTAAAGCAGATTGGGGTGGGGCCAAGGATGGCAACCAATGAAATCGCTCAACTCCAGAGATGTGGAGCCAGAGGTTCAGAAAGGGTCTAAGCGATGGTCTGCAACTGTTTCTGCTCAGTATACTACATTTCACATCACTGGAAATTCTAGGGGGTTGGTGGGGATTTAACCAGCTGCAAAGAACATTTCTAAAAGGCTAAACAAGAGTCCTAGAGTGGAATTTGTTAACCTTAGCATCTTTAAGACATGTGGTCTTCAACTCCCAGAATTCCCCAGCCAGCTATGCTGGCTGGGGAATTCTGGGAGTCGAAATCCACACGTCTTAAAATTGCTAAGGTTGAGAAGCATTGGTCTATAGCCAAAGGTTTAGCAGCTCTGGACTGCACAAGGAATGTTTGCAGTCTTCACAAGTTTGCAGAATGTTCGCAGTCTTCACCTTTCTTTGTGCAATCTCTACACCTTTTCAGGGGGACAATGCTGGGGACAATCCCTGCTCAGACTTTCCTCTGAAATTCCAGGATCAGCCTTCTTTTCCTGTCCAGACTAAGATTTTTCAGTGTGAGAACTTCAGTAATTCCAAAGTGAGAAGGGGGAGAGTGATAGAGAAAGGTCCTTTATTTTTAGCATGCGTTTTGCCTTCTTACCAAAAATAGATCTCCTCCGGGCTACTTTTCTAAATCCTTCTGGAGCTTTCCCAGATGTTTGCTGAAGTTTCCCAGTGTTGGCTCAAGGGATGGAGTCTTCAAACTTGAGGGCCACATCTGGAGGTTTTCAGGGGGCTGGGAGGGAAACCTCACCACTCCCACCAAAGTCTGGTACCACGTTAAGTGTGTCGTATGGCCAAGCCAAGCTGTCCCATTCATTTTCAAGGCAGGTTGCTGCAACTCCCAGTGGTGAATTCATTTCGCTCTGGACCTCCAGGAAGCTGGCTGAGCTGACACACCTACAGCAGGGTTTCAGAAGCTGGGAGGTGGTGGCATTCTGGGTCCATCTGGGTCTGAGTATGTCTAATAAAACGAACAGAAGGTCTAAGAGTGACATGATAGCAGAGTTCCAATATTTGAAGGACTGCCCAAAGAAGAGGGGGTCAACTTATTTTCCAAAGCACTCTTCTGAAGGCAAGACAAGAAACAGTGGATGTAAAATATCAAGGAGAGATCCAAGCTAGAAAGGAGAAATTTCCTGACAGGGAGAACAATTAATCAATGGAGCGGCTTGCCTCCAGAAGCTGTGGGTGCTCCAACACTGGAAGTTTTTAAGAGACTGGACAGCCATTTGCCTGGAATGGTAGAGGGTTTCCTGCTTTAGCAGGGGGTTGGACTGGAAGACCTCCAAGGTCCCAACTCTGTTTCTGTTTGGTATCCTGGTTTAGCAGGAATGATCTCCTTGTTGAAGAAAAGCGCCCCGCGGGGTCAATGCTGATGAAAGGCCTCTATCCCAAATGACATAGGAGTTGCGTAGCTGAGCCAAGAGCGTTTTCAGCATTGCAACAAAGGAAGGCTATGTCTTGTGTCTTGGAGCTTTGCAGAGTCCATCTCACATCTCACTATAAGCATACACACACACACACACGCACACACACTAACCACCCCATTTAATTCTCTACAACATCTCCCCCCTCCATTCCAAACACCCTCTCCTTGGCCGACCATATCAAGAACAGAAGCAACCAGGATCTAAAACCTGTTAACACATGGAACCATACTGAAGATCCTGCCAATCACAATCAATAACCCTCAAGCTGTAGAACGGCCTGAAAAGCAAATTAGAAGAAGCCAAATTGATATGAACAGTTCTGTTTGGGGCCAGGAAGATCTGACCTGTTCTCCAATTCTTGGAGTGTCTGAATTTTTTTTGTGTCCAGTCAAAGACACGGGTCTGTATTTCAACACCTGAAAAAGTTGATGGCTTCAACACACACATGAAGTCTGCTGGTTTGGCTTTGCAAAACAAAAAACAACCATTATCTCTTTGCTGCAAGCCTTGTGGTTCAGTTGCTTTCTCCTGAGGAAAGTTTTATTAGCTTATTCCCTTGCTCTGAGCTTGGAGGGATCCCCCCTCATTTAGAGATTAGAAGATAAGATGCCCCAAAGCAGGAAAGGGTTCAGCTTGGCATCTGCTGCTTGAATTGCTAACAGACCAATGGAGCTGCAAGCACCTCCTTCCTCATTAAAGTAGCCACCTGCTCTTGTCTCTGTCATCCTCCCTCAACGGCTGGGTCTCTGATTTTGCCAAACAAAGAGAGCAGGTTTGGGGTGGGGGGAAAAGAATGACTTAGGGGGATAAATTAAGTGGGTACACAGGGAGACAAATGGAACAAGATCCCC